GTCGAATTGCATTGTCAAGATCTCTGAAACAATGCAAAACAAGGTAAAAGTGGTTTGACTGGTGCAGCTCGACTCAGTATCATATAAAAATGTACTTGCACTAGAAAGACTGAAGACAAGACAGATAATGCAGAAGCAGCGTATAACTATTGATGATGATGCTCAGGTAGTCTATTTATCGAAAAAGTAAGCCTCTCCCTTAAGACCTTAACCTTATATCTTGGCTTCACTATTGAAAACTTCCCGCTAAGACATGGTTGTCATTTTTTGCAGAGTATAATTTTGTGGTGCACTACAAGCCTGGCAAGAATGATATTCTCGCTGACGCGCTTTCTCGTCGTCCTGTTTACGATCCTCGGCGCGACATGGGTCATCAAACGGAGAATGTTGATGACGACGAAGATATATGTGCGTGTTGTATTGAGCTGGGGCTCAATGCAATGATTTCGACACCGGTTCTGTCGATCCGAACTCAGATCGCTGAATCCTACGCGTATTATTCGTTCTATGCGGGAATCATCAATTATCTCATGGACCCTAGTGAGAGTTTTAACGCGAAGTTGACGAAAGTAACACGCGATAACATTAAACATTACGCGCTTGACAGGCCGTTGCTGACGTACACGATGAACGTCTTTGATTCCCCGCGTGTCTTCATCCTTGCTGGTGACGACTTTTGAGCCTGATTGGTTCATTAATTTCACAACAGTCCAGCTGGTGGACACCTGGGTCGCGAAAAGATGTTTGCGGCTATTCCTCGCGGGTTTTTCTGGCCGCGAATGTATAAGTACATCCAGAAATGGGTGCGCTTCTGTGAAACCTGTCAGCGTGTGAAGCCCGCGCCATCTTCACAAGCCCCATTGCGTCCGAAAAAAAGAGCTGAAAAAATGAGTTCCAATTGCTACGGAAGCCTGGCGCTCGGTCAGCATCGATTTTATCTTTGGACTTCCACTGGATGAGCAGAAACGCATGGGCGTATTGGTTCTAGTGGATCGATTCCGCAGAATGGTGCATTTTGCTCCGGCCTCCGCCAACATTAAGGCGGAGACGACAGCGAAGATCTTCATTGATCTTATCTTCAGGCATCACGGCTTGCCAGAATCTATTGTTTCGAGCCGTGACCCGCGTTTCACCTCGGCTTTCTAGCCGAGTTATTCCAGCTATTAGGCACGCGGTTGCTTATGTCTACGTCGGCCCATCCAGAGACGGATAGGCAAACGGAGCGTGTGAACAGAGTGTTTGAAGATGTCTTGCGCAGTTATGCAACATCGTTCTCGTCATGGAGTTCGTTTCTTCCACTTAAGAAGTTTGCAATCAATAATGCTGTCCATGCGTCAACCGGGTTGACGCCCTTTTTCGTTAACAACGCGAGGTATATCTCCTGATGGAATTGCGCCGAAACTATTGATGATTAATTACGATGAGGATAAGGCTGGTGTCGATGCACCTAATACTGGTAATTTTGTGGCCAACGGCATGTCGACTCCTGACGCGATGCATTTCATCGCGTCTCCCGTTGCTCATTTTTCCCCTAGAGAATATGTCGCCTGTAAGTTCGGCTGCAGTAATCAAATTTCTGCTATTACGACAAGGAATCACGCGTTTTGTGCGTGATGAATTACAAAAAGCAGTCGACAAGCATAAGAGAATGCAGACAGAATAGGTCGAAATAATATGTTGATATTTATATAAGGTGACAGAGTATTATTATCAACAAGTGGATTACCGAACACCTCAGTGACGAATTTGGGCGCTAATAACTTAGCGCCAAAATATATTGGCTCAATTCGGGTTGTTAAGGTGCATGGTGACGCTTACACGCTAGACATACCTACATCTATGCGTTTGCACCCGACGTTCCACATCGAGCGTCTCAAGGTTTACCTACCGGCGGATCTCCCTTCGAATCTTCTCCGCTCTTCTGTGCTGGCTCAAAATCCGACATCTCTGGAGGTGACGACGACGCTGACGACGACTGGGACCAAGTCCTGCCCGAACGCTTGCAGACTCGATCTGCTGGGGTCCTCCAAACGCAGTCGTCTTGAGTTGACGTAGGCGCTCAACCAGTACCAGCTGCTCACGCCGAGTCCGCTCAGCAGCCTCAGTCGCAGCATCCGCACGATCTTGAGCTCTCTAAGCCATTTTGCGAGCATCAAGTAGGGCATTCTTCGACTCCTCGGCTTCAGCGCGAAGTAGGCGCAGCTCATCATTTGACTGTACAGGCGCCCGATTGCGAGAATCGGCGCTCATCGCCAGAGGTCTTCCGTCGTGATGCACCTCCTCTCTTAATTGATGCATCAAGTGCGCGACGCTGGATTGTCGACCGAATTGTCGATCACGAGGATCACAATCCCCAGGCGCCGAGTAATGAATCGGCGCCCACGAAGAACCATGTCGAGAAACATTACAGGGCTCGCTGGCTGATATATTTCGCGGCGGACGATACATGGGAGCCATCGAGTACGCTGTCCCAAGATGTCCCGGACGTGATCGAGGACTATGAGTCCCGTAGAAAGACGGTGATCGCGACCGACGCTGCAGGTTCCATCCCCGATCTCGTGAGCCGTAATGCTCGCGAGCAACGAATCCACGACGACTTCCCGAGCGACTCCGAGACCGAGACCTATTACGAGGCTCAGGAGCATACGGATGATACGGTTGACGACCTCGGCTACGTGAATGCCGTCGGCGATCGTAAGGACGCGCTCTCACTCGCCGTAGCTCGGACACCTGGAGATCCGAAAGGCTTCTATCATAACGGGCAATCCATGGACGAATATGATCGGGCATGCCTCGCGTACACACCAAGTCTTCCCATTCCTGCCGGACCGGTCGCATCTGCCCATGTTGCACGTTGGACATCCCTCACGAATGTGGACGTAACAAAGTTGATACTCGTCACAAGTCATGAGACAGATGCACCGGCGCAGGTCGCCAATAGCGTGTCTATCACGCGTTCCCTCGCGACCGTCTAACCAGGACGTGAAGGACGTTCCTTTACATCAGCTCGCATCCCAGCGCCTGATGAAGGCACACCAAGATCTCTGTATATGCGTTGTTCGTCGCTTTGCCTCTCACTGTACGGTATCGCGTGAAAAGGTCCTTCATGACCTCCAGTGGCTCGGGTTCGACAGCATTTTCAAAATCATACAAGCGCCACGGTTTCAAGTCTCCATCCATGACCTTCGGCGCCTGCTATCTTCGGATTGTCGCTTGGTTTTCCCAGTTCTGGTTGTCAGAGACATTGTTTCGTGGGCGCCCAGGGTCCATGCTGCTCAGTTATGTCTAACTGAGCAGGTCCGAAGTTACGCGTTGATCGAGAAGAAACTTCCTACGATTTGCGCTTACGTTGAGGTAAGCGCAACTTTAAGGGGGGGCTGATGTAATGGGGCAACCTATTACATAAGTAGCTATAGGGATAATTCATAATTACATAAGTAGGCATAGGGCAGTATTCAATTAGCTGATACTGCGAGTCATTTTTATTATTGGTTTATTATTGGGGTGCCAGACCCAATAACTAGCCAATAATAAATTGACTTCCATATTGAGTGGTTCCCATGAGCGAGGGAACATATTCGCACTTACTGCGAATTAAAACAAAACTAAAAATAGAACAGAGTTATATTTACGAGTTAATTAAGAGCGCTTCCTCAACGCCCTTTTAGTGTAAGAAGGTAATGGGTCCTTAGCCCGTTACAAGGCGTCATAGTGACGCTTCAGACCGACGTCAGCAGCTAGCTTAAACATATTTTAAGCTCGCACGTACGATACGCTTCTAAAGACACGCGTATCCAATCTTTATGTTTGAACCAATCAGTAGTTAGATATATAATTAGTTAATTTCTAATTAATATAAGTCAGTCTTCGATTTACTAATTACCGTCCACTGCGCACGAGAAGCTGGATAAGCTTCTGCGTGACGTAAGTAAGGCAATTGTTAGTTGTTCGTTGCGCGGATCGCTTTAAGCGGCCACCACCACCGCACGCGGAGGTAAGACGGTATAACCGCTCCCTTGCGTTGCTTGAAGGTGTGCCCGCGTAGTACGTGGCAGATTCTTTCGAAGAACCCTTCTGCACACGCAGTGCAAGAACAAGCTAGAAGCTTAGAGGCTCGAGAACCGACGCACGATGTGCACAAGAGAAACTAGCCAATATCGGCTTTATCTATACGACTCAAAATGAGAACTGATTTTATTCGTGCATTAAGATTTTATGAATAATCCTACTTTAAGTACCCTACACTACTATTTTATGTAATCATAACATGTCATCGTTTGTATCTGGATATGGAATCATCCAATTATGTTGTACTTAGTACTACTGTATCAGTTATGGGGAGCCAATACCGATAGTATAAGGTATTACTAATACCTTATTACATCACTCATATATAATACCCTTTTTTGAAAGGATCGGTGCAATATAGAAACTTTCAACCGTGATGTACTTTTGGTATAATGTTCCAACCGTCGTGTATTTCCGTTACAGCAAATCTATGATGCCGAGCTCGAGAAGGACTTCCAGTTTACTTCATCGGCAGTAATATGACGATAAAATACTCCGAGGCACAATTACTCGATAAAATCGAGCATTTCGCCGCGATGAAGACACTGTTCTCATCAAAAATAGTGTAGTAAAGGCAGGCAGCTGCCTTTACCACACGGCATTAGAGATCTACACCGAAGATGTTTGCCGGTGTAGATCTCTAATGCCGTGTGGCAACAATTTACTAATGCAAAGCGCACGAGCTGAATGCATCGTCAATGAACGTACACAAAAATTAGGCCACAACTTGATGTCGTTCATGAACGTTTTCATTATTATCACTATCGATGAGGCTCTTCACCATTGGGCTACCCGTCCTTGTTTTTGCCGCCAATGGTGAATAACGTGTTATTGCTGTCACTAAAAACACTAGAGGCCAATCTTGCTCGGAGCCTCTATCATAGTCGAGGATCGGATAAACGGATAGAGTAAAACTTGCTGCCTCGACCATTCTAGACGGATGCAATGAAATTCTTGGGTGAGTTTTCGAGCCATTGCTTTAGCTGAGGACTCTTGAGTGTAGGCGTAATGGAGTGGTCAAAGTCGAAAAGCTCCTGCTGCAGCGCAACATCAATTGTTGGTGAGGCCAAACGCTTGTGTGGTGATGGCTGTCGACTAAAACCAAAGGTCGGCGTGTTTGCGTGAGGGAATGCTACGGACACATCAGTGCGCAGTCGAGGAGAGCGACGAAGGATTCCGCCGTTTTCATTGGAAATTTCCTATAAGAAAGTGCCGAAGTCAGTAAGTAAGCAAGCAAAAACCTGCCTCACGTAGCATGATCCACTTACAAATTCAAGCGTATTCGAATCCAGCTCAGCAGGGAAGTCGAGGTCGTCGAACGAAAACTTCGTGCCGTCTGCCTTCATGAAACGCGGAGGCGACATGAAGCGCGGAGAACGACGCAAACTATGTGGCGGCTGTAGCCCTTGAGGTGTTGGCATGTTGAAGACTTGCTGCTCACGTCACAAACGAGTACAATCAGCACATCAATCATGTATCACGACACCTCTAACCAGCTATTTTACCTCATTGAAGTCGATATCAAGATGCTCAAATGCGTGAAAGGAGCCATCCATGTCGGTGAATGCATACTCGCCTCTAAATTCGCCTAATCCAGCACTACCACCACCATTTTTCTTGCCCTGAACATGACGTTTCTTGCTCTTATTTGTTGCACTTGCAACAGCGATGATGGCACCTCCAAAATCTTCATCTCCTGTGTTCAAAAGCTGTAGCAGCAGCTGAGTGTGCAACACACGACGAGGAGTATCTGGCAAGAACATGTCATTGCTTTCAACAAGAGATACGCTACCCGTACAAATACGTAGATCTTTACGTTTCCGCTTCGAATTGAGTTTCTTGTTTCCGTTTTTCAACGGACTGCCTTCCCCATCCTCGGTTTGTTTAATCAGAGCATTGTAGCAGTTTTTGTACACGGATGTCTGTGTCGATGATATTCCTTGAGTCTGATGACGAAAAGTAGTTCCAGTATGCATCGTATCTCGCGCAATTTCCATCATGGACACATTATTGCCTGGCGTCGAATTGATATGGAATTGTGCCACCTTGTTATTGCTTCCATTGCCTCTTAAATTTTGGCCCATTGTTTTGTTCTGTTGTTTAGCCATGCGACGCATAGTCCGTCTCATGGACGAGTACCAGTGATTCTTTATAGCATTGTCCGTTCTGTTAATTTCACATACAAGAGATTGACACCGTCGTTAGTATACTAGCATTCGCAACGGAACATGTGTCAATAGTACTATCTTCTTTTTCCTACCTTCCAGGCAAAAGTTTTGAGATTTCAGCCCACTTGTTGCCAAGCCGTGTCTGGGCATCTTCAATAATTTGTTCTTCTTCTGCCGTCCAAGGGTCCTTCTTAATCGTAGGATCCAAGTGATTGAGCCATCTCGTGCGACATTGTTTGCCTGTGCGTTCGGTACCGTGGTTTTCACTATTCAGGTGATCCGAAATGACACTCCAGCGCTTAGTGCCGTACTCGTCTACTAATCGAATTATAGCTTCGTCTTCTTTACGTGTCCAGGCACGACGTTCATAGGTAGATCCACTATTCAGACGAGCTTCCATGCCATTTTTGCCTGATTTTGCCATGTTTGTTATGTGAGACTTTTCCACTTTGAAGTGAATGCCGATGTGCAAATCTATGAATGAAACTACTTTACGTTCGACTCGGCTGGAGATGGAAGTAAAAAGCTACATAGGCTGTCCCTACGATGTTATAAGGGCTTGTGCTCGTTTTCTTCTGGCCTTCGCTTTGGCTTGCGTGTGCGTGCGTGCGAAAATGCCGTTGGCGGCCTTTCGAAAGCCGTTTTTAGCATCTTACGCTTGCTGACTACATCGTACTGGGAAAATGTTCCGATCTTTTGATTCTTTTAAAGACGATGCATAGTGAAACACAGCTTAAACATGTTGGCAAACTTTGAATCGGTCGTGGAGAAATCTTCCACGATATGCATCACACACACACTCTTTGCAATCCATTTTTTGAGCGAAGAGGCGGAAGACTGACTGGCTTGAGGATGGGCAGAAAGTCTCATGAGATCAGATTGCTCCTCGTGAGTTGAAAGCTTCTACAACAAGAATATGCTCGGTAATACAGCAGTTTTTGTAGCTGACGACGTGAAAAGCTGGATAGAATGCGAAGAGTCTGGGCTCAAGTGAAGGGAAATGACGAGCAACGTCTGCAAGCACGTGTGATGCAACTGTCGGACCAACGGAGCCCGTCGCTCGGTCATGAAACAACAGTAACGTTGACTACTGAATACTTGCCTGCCCGTCTAGCATAACACAACATTTACAAAGAACGACGTGTATGTCTTTGGCTAATAGTAAGCGACAGCCTTTTACTTCTTCTATTTAAGAGCATTGATCTCCATTCTACTGCGCTACGATGATGCGAATAGATACTACAAGTCTAATGCAAGAATACCATAGTATTGCCAGTTATATATATGCGCACATTACTAAGTGTCTGAAGTAAACGTAGTAATGCTTAAAGCTACTTTTTAATCGTATATATTGTGGGTCCACTATACTTCAAAGGTCTAAAAAACCCAGCCTCTTCAACTTCAAAAAACCCAGGATCTTTAACGTAAATATTCCAATAAAAAGCCCCTACAAGTATTGCAATATCTTATTAAAGCTAATGCAGTCGGTGCAAGTGTTGGGTCCACGCTGGTCGCTTAAGGAGCTACGTACGTTCTATATCTTACTTAAAACACATGGTCAAGAGTGGGATAAACTAGAAGAGCATCTCCCACAGCGTTCAAGTGCCATGGTGCGTGCATTATTTGCAATGCATCGTGGCTATTTGTCACTACCGGAAGCGTCCATTGAGGGATTTTGTGCCATTATGATGGACCATTACGAAATGCAAGATAAACCGACGATGATTTTAGCCAATAAGAATGAAGCAAAGAAGACAATACTAGCCAATCAGAATGAAGCAAACAGAGACACGGACATAAAACAAGAGGAAGAACCTGCTGCGAGGAACAAAAAAAGGCGACGACTCGATCAAATGATGACATTTCAAAATCAAAAGTCCAAAATTTATCAGAAGCACATGGTAAAAATAACAATAACGAGAAGAAAGCGGAAAAGTACCAGTCCTCTTAAGTTACGAAATGGGTTACAAGATGATGATGAAACTGGACTGGCAAAAGTGTATGGCAAAACGAGATTTTATCTACCATGGAGTCATTGGTTTTACTCTTATATCGACAATGACTTTTTTCATCATAATGAGTTTATGGAATGTCTTAGTCGGATGGGACTGGAAAAAATGACGGTAGCTGCACGTCCGATCTGGTCATCGGTACGGGCATCCATGGGTCGTCCACGACGTCTCAGTCGTTTGTTTTTTACTCAAGAAAAGGATAAACTCGAAACGTATCGAGTTGCAAAACGTCAATTGGTAAGGAATAACAAAAGAGAAGTTGGAGTAAGATTGGAGAATTGATGGACTTGGGTCTTTTGTGTGTGGGATGTTATGTAGACGATGAACGGAACGTGGCCGTATCGATCTAGTCCTCCATTGCAGCCGGGGATGCCGGTTGTAGGTACGTGTTTTGTTCTGTGTCTACTTTTTTGTGATACAGCGGTTTATACGTTGTGGTGGTGCTTTTGACTGTAAATGGTAGTTCGGGTGGAGTCAGAGCGTCGCTTTCGATTTGCTACTGTTGCTGCTTTTTGCTCGACTAAAGGTACGTGTCACGTGTCTTTCGGTGGCAATGTTTCGCCATCGGACGTGACAGAGTGCAATTTGGATAATCTGATGGTTTTGGCCATCCCGCCAAAGCCAGGGAAAAGTGAAGCCAGCTTTGTAGAGCCAAAGCAATCTGCTACCACGCTACTACGACGCGAGAATGGGATTGTTGGAGGTGCTCCGATACTCGTAACACCAGAAGCAACAGATTCCATCGGTGCGCGACACCAAGACGAAAAAATCCGAGCTATACTGGCAGTAAAAAGCTTACTACATCGCAAGGAGAAAATCATTTTATCATTGGCAAATTTAAACGAACGCGCTGCTGAACAGCAAATGCACGCGCTGAAATTCAGCTTGTCGACAACCCCTACGACAACGTCGTCAGCAGCCGTAAAGGATCCCGCGTGGACCAATTCGCGTGAAAGGCGTCAATTGCAGAAGCAGCACTCTTGGCTCGCTGCAAATCTGAGTGCCACAAATAAGCATTTGAAGACTGCATTGCTAACCCTCCAGTCGTTTTCGGCAAATTATTCTTCTGAAGCGGAGATGTCCGACACAAGTCTGGCGTATCCCTCCGAGTCGCTGAAGTGGGATAACATGATGCCATCAGAGACATTGACCGAGGGTCAAATTCGTTGGGCCATGGATTTTCTGGCCGCAAGTCAGCGAAGATCGGCTGTTGTGGTTGCGGAGTCAGCATTGCAGGTCGTCAAAGATGACAAGAAATTGTCAAGTTTGAGCTCCTCACTCACCGACACTCGTCTAGGAAATTTGCTGCCAGAGACGATGGAGCTCGTTGTCAATTGCGTCACGTTAATGAGCATTCTCCACCGGCATGTTGCTGCTTCACCAAACGTGCCTCCTGTTGTCACACAGAAGCTCGTAGAGCGTGTGCTTGAATTGCTTAAACCCTCCCACGAAGCCAATATGGATCTTTACGCTGAGCTTCATGCAGCCGCGGATGTTGCACAAGCTCAGATGGTGCTGCAGGCGTCAACGAGTGAGACCGACTAAGTGTGCAAAAGTCGCTGTATAAGCTTGCCATATAAGCTGTAATGCGCTAATGAAGACGCTGCGTGATACTACATTACGTTTGCCATGATTGCTCCCTCAAGAAGTAGCTCGAGAAGTTGTAGCTGCCTTCTAATCATGCAATAATGGACCAGTGGTGCTTTATGAACGGTTGACATTCATGTCGAGCTGTCCGTGCTGTCTTCTCTTCTTCCGAGAAAGCCCGTCAAGACTTGAAAAGCTCTTTGAAACGAGAAAATACAGGCTGCAAGCTCAAGAGCAATGGATGGAGCTTGGCCGTTGCAGCGAGAACGTTTTGGTAGCTTTGTCGAGACCATATCGACGTATGACGCTCTGTGCGAGCAAGAAAACGTGGCGTTGCGCGCCCAAGTGCACGATCTCACCGAATTGCTAGCAGCGTTTGATCTTTGTGAGCTGCAAAATCCACATCTGATCGCTGTACGAGACCGAGCGTTCCAACGTGACTTTATACCGGATGAGGAGCTACTTCGGGTCTGCTGCATGGAACGTCAGCTGCAGCAAGAAAGCATTCAACATGCTCTGGAGGATGAACTGGCTGAGCAAGATATGGCAAATTGTCCCTATGGACAATCCAGTGAAGTCTCAGAGTGTCTTGAGAATCACTCGAGCATCGTTGAAGAAATTGAAGGTCTACAGCAACGCATCGAGTTGCTCGAACAAGAGGTGACTATCTTGCATCTGCGTCAAGAGCTCTCTGAAGAAACGACGTCAAGGTCGCAATGGCCTGTAGCTACTGTTGACGGTGACCAAGCGGCCCAAGATCAAGATACCAAAAAGGACCAAGAACAAAGAGATCGTCATGTTTCCGAGGAACAATGGGAAGAAACTACAAGGACGATACAAGAGCAGAAGGAGCGGATCGTCGAGCTCGAAAAAGCACTGGCGATGGAATCCGACAAGAATGCGGCATTGCAACAACAGATTCAACGCTATCGACAAGTCGAAAGTATATTGCTAGAATTCAGTCGATGCCACTCGTCTGCCTCGTCACTCTAATCCCAATTCACCACATCCGTAATTGCTTCCCGCCAATTAACGATGTGGTTCCCGCCAAATAAAGCATTCGCATAAATAATATTGAAACCATTTCCGTATCTCAAATATCGTACACTTAATAACACAAACTAAACAAAATAATAATTATAAAAAAATATAATACAAATATATGTATAGAAATAAATATTATTATTTTTATATACGATATAAATTTTGCATTTTTTGTATTATATTTCCATTCACCTCTTAAAATGAACAAGAAATTACAGCTTCCGTCCAATATCGTCAGCTCTCCAATTCTTTCCGGCATTAGTACCGCACTTGCAATAATTGTTGGTATTGTTACAATTATTGGTGTCTCATGTCATCACAAACACGTCATCCGTCGTATTGATACAAGTAAAAAGAAAGTGTCGACTGTTCACATTGGACTCCTTCGAATTCACGTCCCCCAAAAGTTTCAAGATTTGGTAAAAAATGACGTTTTAGTGGAGAAAACAATGGAATTTGTATCCCAAAAATTATTTATTTATGTCTTTGGAAGAGAGAATCACGAGGTAATTAATTACATTAGTGAACTTTACACCATGACATGGGATATTGCCGGTAAACTGGACAAACCTTTTCTGGATATTCGGTACGGCAGTTTTTTGAATCTTGTTTTCGAGGCGAAATATGATTGTAAGTAAATGATTGTTACATTTGCAGTATTGTAGGGAATGGTGTGTCGAAAGGCAGTACGTCGTGGGATGAGTTAATGCTACGGCCGGACTTGAATGCCGTGTTTGCTGAGGATGCAGTAGTGGATGTACAACATTTAAATGCTCAACGGTTTCAGCAGGACGGTCTATATGCAGTCACATATTATCCATTGGCGATGCATGTTGAAAGGAGGCTGGCTGCTGGTGTAATTTACTTTGAGAACGAACATGCAGACTTGACGCCACATGATCTTGTCATTTTGGGAGGAACGTTTGACCATTTGCACAATGGACACAAGAAACTGCTGTCACTAGCTGTCGGTATCTGTGCAAAGCGTATGATTGTTGGTGTGACGGCAGATAGTATGTTGAAAGAAAAAGCACATGCGGAGTTGCTGGAGCCGTTGGAGAAGAGGAAGAGTGCTGTCCGTGCCTACATTGCATTCCTTAATCCACACGTCATTGCAGACATTGTGACGATTGAAGATCCATTTGGTCCGGCAGTTGTGATCCCAGAGTCAGCGGCTATGGTTGTGTCGACTGAAACGCTTTCGGGTGCTTCCAAGATCAATAGCATACGCGTTGATAGCGGATTGCCAAAGCTCCACATATTTGCATGCCGTCGCACGGAGAACAGTACACTCAGCTCTAGCTGCATTCGTGCAAAGATTGCAGCTTCTCGAAATCGTTAAGCGCTAGGCACTCTTTTGAATAGCTCGACGTGAACCTGTGTGATCCACCTTGTCGTATCTGCAAAAGAACGCTTTTACTAGTGGATGCCTTCAAAGCACCTGATAAAGTAATTGTTTGATACCCACGTCATATTCGATAAACAATGCAGGTTTCCACACAATTAGTGTAAAGCACGTATCTCTGCTACCGAACTACTTGCTACGTACTAGTACTGTTTGCTTGTCTACTAGTTCGCCAACTCTCTCTTTTGCCGTGTACTACCCTTTGTTCGTCTTCCTTTCCATTCTTCATCGCTTTGCTCTGATGACTGACCCTATTATAAATGCGACCCGGGATCCAAACTGCCGGTAGGCACGTCGTCGACCGCATGTACTAACCCCAGACTTCGTTTTAGTGCATTGATGTCCACCTCCAACGGTACCACAAACCCATTGATCCGAAACGGAATCGTGTGAAACACAGGTTCCTCGGCGTCCAGTTGCAACTGATCTTCAGTCATCGTCACAGATGTTTGCTTGCCACGTGCAATTTTCCTGGGGCGATCAGTAGCCTGGATAGATTCATCACGCACTCCATTCTTGTGGTTCAATGACGTCCTAATGGCTGCCGACTTGACAGCACTACCACCTGGTGTGAGCGCTCCACCGATCGACATGTCTGCATAGTTTTGAATCAATGGAAATCCAGCAGTTCCTGGCTGGCCAAACGGCATGAACGCCGAGTTATTGGGGGATCCACTGGTCCCGTTTGTCCCGATTGTTTCAACATTACTGTCGGGAACATGTTGTTGTTGCTGAAACATCTTCATTGAAAGTCTCTTCTTCTCCTTTTTTGTAGTAATGTCAACAAAATAACAAAACACCTCGTACTTGAGCTCTACCTTCATACTCCGTGCTACTTTCCACCGTACCCGTAACAATGGATCAAAATTTTCCTTAGTCAATTGCACATACTTGGATTGTGTCGCATTACTACTTGGTTTCAAGTAAATTGCTCGTCGTTCTTGGACATAATTCGGTCCTAATTTATTGTAATGACGTTCCACTTTACTTTGAAAGACTCCAAAACCTTCATCTGGAATAAACGTAATTGGCACTTCATCGTGTAATTTCTTACGAACAGCCATCAGGGGTTCTCCACATTTCATTGTAAGTATTGCAATACATTCTTCATGTTGTGGAAACGCATCAAGACTGGAATCTTCACTTCTGTCCGCTACAAACTTGAGCTCATCAGATGTCGATAAATCGGTATTCTCTAAACTTGACATGATGTGAATATGTAAACAGAAGAGTCAAGGCTTGAAGTAGATACGGATTACGTAATCAACAAGAGTCCTGGCGCTGAAAAATGCAGATGAAATGAGCTTCGGGGTCTCTCGATTGTTAGTATCGGCGTCGTGATTTGGTCAATTAAGTGACTTCTTTGTAAAATATATATATATGAAATAGAGTAGGTATTTGAAGTGGTATACCATAGATTATATTACAGTAGGATTACTGGACCAGAGTATATGTGAACAGTAATGTATTCAGTCCCCAATAGTAGGTTAAAAAAGGTACGGAATCAGATTCCCAGGTGTAGGTGAGCTTAGTACCTTCTTCTTTTTGTCGTGAAGTAGCAGTAGCTAGAGCAGCAAGAGTTTGACGATATATACAGTATGTAAAGCTCAGTAATTATCTGCGACTGAGAGGGTATCAACAAGATCACTACCAGTCGTACTGCCGTTTGAAGCGCTTTTTCTTGATCGAAACGGTAGCTCAGTCGTATAAAGCAGTCACACAAGAGGCAAAAACACATTAGCTGAAGATTAAAACCTTCTTCTACAATTGCGTCAAAGCGGCATTTAGAACCTTTTGAGTCATCGCATCGACTTTATTTAGTCAGCTGCATAAGAAGGCCAAGTGCGATGCTTTTACTCTAAGTTCTATAGCCATCTTTACTACGAAGCAGATGGCAATCATCATTACATGCTGTGAGCATAACTCACGTACAGCAGATCCTGTCTCAATTAATACTCTGTAGACATTAATGTTCTATGTATGTATAGAACTTAATATTTAAGAAAGGTAGTAAACCATAGCTACTTACTGCCCCGGACCAAGTCAATCAATTCAATTAAAAAGGTTATCATTATATGAAATAGTAGTTTTGACAAGTTTTACTGTACTTCACATTACCATCTCTTAGTTTAGAATCAGAATCCATGCTGCAAAATTCTAGTCAGTTGCCAAAAATCACGACAAGTATAAAAAATGCTGTCTAGCTGTACTCATCCACTTTTCCAGATGATTTTTCAATCGTACGCTCGTCAATCCAATCTGCTCTTAAAAAAATAGTCCTGCCCTCGCTCCAGTACCTCTTCCCCATTGTTCAATCCCCTTTTGTCATTGAAAATGGTGTTCCCATTACCACTTGATTTCTTCCCTCCATTACATTTAAATTCGAACGAAATTGATTTATTTCTTCAATGGGGAAATGCACGGGTTCAAGAAACAATTGATGCCCATCATCGGGACCAATTTGAGACACGAGAAACACGAAAACACAAATGAAAACCACTTAAACACCAAAAAGACTTGACCGTGTATAAAAACCGGCGAAAATATACCGATAATACCGATAATACCACGGAGTCCACATACCTCTGTACTGGTCGCATGGACGGGACACTGGATGAAGTTGTTATGGGTCGGTATGCTGATATACCCCGGCGTTTCGACGACTTTCCGGTATTTACCGAAATGATCTTGTGGATTGTGCTGTCCTTGGTGTGATTAAAACACGCAGTCTAAAAGACCCATTTTTTCTCTCGTGTTTTAAATGGATGACGGTAAAATCACCAGGAAAAGGACTTGTGAAGAATCGAGATGTTTGTTGGTATGAACAAATGGGACTGACTCGAGATTGCAATGGCAAAGAAATTGGATATACTTTAACCGAGTCAGTTGAGCTTCCAACGTGTCCACTTTTTCATGAATGTATACGAGCGAGGTTGTCAGTTTGTTACTTGTATAAACGTAACAAGAGTGGAGGTGTTAAGGTTTATATGCGTGGCAACAATGATGTAGGAGGAAAAGTAGTCAATTGGGTCACTGATATCAAGTCGGCAGATCTTTGGCTACGTATTGAACAAGCCAGGCTTGTAGCTCATGCAGTCATTGCAACAGCTCTGCTACAAGCGGGACAGAATATGAAGCGTCCGTTTGGTACATTCAAGAAATGCAATGTCTGTCATGTCAAGACTTTGGGCTTTGTGAGTTCTCCTAAAGAGTGTGCTGTCTGTTGCTGTCTTACGTGTTCCAGTTGTGTGACCAAAGTCCGCGTGCTGAACTTCCATGACTTTTACGTGCCACATCATGTCCTCTTTTGCAAAAAATGCGTCCGCCTCATTCACCAAGTGGATCTGCGTGCCCCAGAGAATATAACGAACCCTGTCGAGTACGCTGCAGCGATATTGGCGGAGTCTGAGAGCTCAAAGATGAGCTTTTTCCGCTTAAGACCAGTAAGTGGCTACATGGACGATAGCAACGACGGATCGGAGGAAGGGCGCGTTTGCCACAAAGCGTCCGAGATTAGTAGCTACAGTAGCAGGAGTAGCTCGTCTCGCTCGCTTCCACAGCCTTTTATTGGTGGGAAACATCAGGGCCATGATGACGAAGCTTTCTATTTCAGACAGTCTAGAGGATCATGTCCTCCTCTGGAGCACCACGATCAGGCGACACATAACAAACACGTCAAGTTTGGTTCATCGGCGATACCTGTCGTACCCGTGACATTTTACGACGAGCGGTTGTTACAAAGAACTAGTCAACGCACGGATGTTTATGGGAGACAGCATCACCATAATCGTTTACCGCTCCACAGTACCGCTGGTCAGCACTTCGCTGGACGTGAGTCGGAGATACCTTTGATCCCGTCCCAGGAAAATGCCTGGACAAACAAAGGGGATGCCTACAGCGGTAGCTGTGACAGTTCTGAGACCTACGATAGTAGTACTTTGGACTCAAGCACGGTACTACTGATGACACAGATTGCCCAAATGAACCTTAACGAGTAATTCCAGCAGCCGATTGAGTATGACTCGTCATTTCGGCAGCAGCAGCCGTTCTTGAGCGGTCAGGTAGCTGAACCGAAACAACGGCTATATCTAGAAAAAATGCATTTCGTCAGTAGCAGACCGGACCACGTTCATCGTTTATGATTGTGCTCACTGCAGAGCAGTCATTCCTATAAGCCACACATATCATGCATGACAAAAGGTAGCTTCACGATGCTAATTTTCTAGGAATGTCTTCACTCAGGCAGTACGTAGCAGTCTGGAACCATCCTGATCGACGAATTTGCCGGACTCGGACTTCTACAAGCAGTTTCTGCAGATGTTTTTCCACTGTTTTTCTCGCAGACAAACGCAAAACGTATGGCAGTGGCTCATAAACTCTATCCACGATATCTGATGACGACAGTCCTTCCACATGATCGCTGTACTTCTTCAGCACTGCCAGTACTTCGTCTTCACGCTGCTGGCGGTGCGCAATATATTCAAGAATCTTTGTCGGTGCGTCACTTACCATCGGACCATGCCCCGGGTAAATAGCACTAGCACCACAAGCGTTCAACTTTGCTAAAGATGACATGAGGTCGGGGAGTGAGTCGAACATGCAGCTTCCAAAGCCCAAGACACAGTCTCCGGAGAACAGCACGGAAGCTTTCTGACCTTCGACGCTATCCAACAGGAAACAAACGTGATCATTACAGTGTCCAGGAGTATAGATAGTCGTCAACACCCCAGAACCCGGTACTTGGAACTTCTGTCCATCTACAAGAGCTTGAATCCCCAACTGTCGACTCTCATCATTACTGAGACATAGTCGTCGATCGCCATCTCCATCACCCTTTCTACCATTCACAGGTAGATATTTCCACACTTTCATAGCCGGATAATGCTTTTGAAGTTGCAACAATCCTCCTACATGATCCAAATGGCCATGAGTTATCAATAGATCTGAAATTTCTCGTACTCCATGACATTGACACACTTGTAGCAATGTCTTAATAAAACTTGCATTCCCATCACTTGAATCAATCAATACTCGACTTGATCCATTGCCTACAATGTACACATTTGTACCATCCAATGTCATTTGACTGGGATTATTGCCTAGCACTCGTAGCACGTGGTTGGGTAATCGATCGACAGCAGGAAGTCTCGGGACGTTACGAAAGACTCGAGAAAAACCCCACAAGATCCATGATTGAATACGTACTTTCAAGCTAAAACGAAGAAGAGACAGTATAGGGACATGTACGAGTCCATTACTGCCATGATATAGTGCTAGAGGATACAGAAACCACACACAAAAAGCGAGGAAGATGCCACTAGTCATGAGCAGAGACCACATGAGGCAAGAAAAAACTGTGACGTGTGAAACATGTGACGTGTGGTGTATCTATATATATGTGACGTGTGTAATTTTTAAAAGAGTGACGTGTTGTTATTGTAATCTCGATGACTTCCCAGCCAGTCAAAAAACGTCCACCCCGTCCACTTCAGTAGCGGATCCCGTCCACTACAGTAGCGGATCCCGTCCACTATTGAGCCCGTGACGACGACGATCTCTTGGTCCGTGGTGAGTATTGTGCGACCGTTAGTCATGGGTCGTGGATCTACTCGCTATTCATCTAGTAGAGGAGGAAGTAGTGGAAGTAGTGGACGTCGTGGTGGACGCGGCGGACGTGGTAGTGGACGTGGTAGTGGACGCAATGGTAGTGGACGTCACGACGGCCCGGACTTTCGTGCTCCTGGATACAATGATGGCATCGCATGTAGCGTAAAGGAGTCTCTAGTTGGTATTCAGTACTTTCTGATGCCACAAGTGGATGGTTTCCATGGCGCCATCAAGCAGCGCTACTCGGACTTTATCGTGCACGAGGTGGCAGTGGACGGTCAAGTGGTGAAGCTCACGGATGTTAAACGCTTTAGTCGTGCTTCTACTAAGCCACAAAAAGTGAGTGAAATCTTCAAGCATCGCGTGTTTGCACTGCTGAATGATGCAGCAAATGACAAGATGGACATTCCCGTGTCGGTGCATACACTGGTAGGAAAATTAGCAGCTCAATTGCTGGGTCTGTTTAATCGAAACAAGAGAGCACGAGTGCTCAAGCAGGAAAAGGACGATATCGAGAAGCTGAAAGAAGCTGTTGCTCGAGTATGTGGGGACGAGACGGCAGGGAAATTACGAGACTTTATGCTCAAGTTAGTGGACGTACAGATGAAGGAGGAGGAAGTCAAGAGACTAGCAAATATGGAGAGTAAACACAAGAGTCGAGAGGAGAAGAAGGACGTGCTAGTTACTGAGATGCACGAGACCGAAACAACGTTTTTCTTTCCACCGATTGAAGCAAAGGAGACGCGAGCAGCAATGCACCAAGTTTTGCGCAAATTTGGCCGTGGTATTGTGGTGTCCGATACGACGACTAATGGTGATGGGGTGTCGGTTGTTCGAGTGCGACGTGTGATGATAGGAGGCAAAAAGCGTAAGGATATGGACCAGCGTGGAGGAATTGATGCACGTGGATCGTGGCCGAAGAATCGCCCCGATTACTTGCAGTTTGTGCTTTACAAGCGCAATTTGGAGACCAATAGCGTCATGATGCAGTTAGCAAAGGCCATGAACACGAACGTATCGAGCTTTACGTATGCTGGTACCAAGGATAAGCGTGGAATTACGACGCAGCTTTGCACAGTCTACCGTGGATCGAAGGAGCGACTGGAGACGCTTAACCGTGCTGACCGTGAGCTAGACTCGTTCAATTTTCTCGTCGGTAACGCGACGTACGTCTCACAACGATTGAACCTTGGTGACTTGCGTGGCAACCGCTTCTCGCTGGCTATCCGTGATCTTCCTGATGACGACACGATCTCGGACGAGCAGATCCACAACGCGGTTCGCAGCTGGAGTGAACACGGCTTCATCAATTACTTCGGTCTGCAGCGATTTGGTACCAAAGCTATCGCCACACATGAAATCGGACGGGCAATATTGCAGCGCGACTACAAGCGTGTGGTTGACTTGTTGCTCTCTCCGCAAGAGGGTGACGCGACGAAAATTCGCGAGGCACGTCAGGCCTTCCAGGATAACCAAGACGTTGAAACTGCGCTGAAAGCGTTACCTCCGTACTTGATCGCTGAACGTGCAGTGCTGCAGGGACTACGTACACATGGTATGACATCGTACGCCACTGCAATTCAGGGCATCCCTCGTCACCTCCGCATGATGTACACTCACTCGTATCAGAGCTACGTTTGGAATTTTGTAGCAAGCGAGCGCTTGGTGCAGTTTTCTAGGAATTCGCCTGTTGTGGGAGATCTCGTGATTCCTCACGATAAGATGACGGAAGAATACGTCGTTGATAGCGAAGGTGGAGATGCGGATGAAAAAGAAGATGAAGCTGCCCAGCCGAACAAGAAGCCCCGGACGTCGGCTGAAACTTCACGTCCCGAGGCGAGTCCTTGCGTCGTTACTGCTGAAAACTTGAGCCTATACAGCATTTATGACGTGGTGCTCCCACTACCAGGCTATAGCATCACGTATCCGAAGAATGCGCTTAAGCAGCGATACGATGAGATCTTAAAGGCTGACGGCGTGGACTTTCAAACGCTGGAACGTGCTACCAACTCTGAATACCATCTTCCAGGGTCTTACCGTCACGTGATCAGGAAGCCTACGGGTGTAGAGCATGAAATCAAAAGATCAAATGACTCCTTGATGCCACTCCTGGCGACGGACGTTGATTATCTCACCGGTCGTTCTGCCCCAGCTTCCATTCCCGATGGAACGTATCGTGCTCTATGCTTGGAGTTCCAGCTTGGTCCGTCCTCATACGCAACAATGGCGGTTCGCGAACTGATGAAGCAGAGTAGCAACCTTGACGTGCAGCTGCAGCTGAAACAGAAGCTTGATGCGAAGGCAAGCAGATAAAAGTCAATGCGGTTCGCTAGATATGCGTTTGTCGAGAGAAAACAACTTGCACGTCGGCTCAAATTCTTTGTTAGTAACTGAGATTGAAAGTATTCGTAAATGCCAATTCAACATGTAACGTCAACAGCCACTGGCCGGTGCAACGCGAGCTTCAGTCTTCAGTGGACTAGATGCCGTCCTCCCATTCATGTCGTTCAATCTTGCTGACAAAGCGATTGCCGCCACTACACAACAAAGCATTTCGATACGTCAGTACAACACCATTACCAAATCGACAACAAATCGGTAAGGTCATACATGTCCTCTCGCGAAATACGCCAGTAAAACTCGGGGCGTGTGCCATCCATGGTTTGAGTGCGACTGAGCATTTGCACGAACTCTTCGTCATGTGTAATGCATACAAGCTGAAAGTTTTGTTGCTGACAGCGCGCGTTCACAATACTGCATTGACACAAGAAAACATACAAGCAGGGTATTATGCAACAGCATCACTCAATACTAATCGATCATAGTCGTACGTACTCAGTGATTGCCTGCGCCAGACCGAATTTGTTTTCGGTATCAAGATTCGTTGTGGGTTCATCAAGCGTCAAGATCCCGCAGTTTAAACAAAAGGTCTCTGCTAGTGCCAAACGAATGACCAAGGCGGCTAGAACCTTTTGCCCCGCACTGCAACGACCTCGCATGTCAATCGATGCTCCTGCCTTTTTCATCACGACGCGGTAGTCATACGAGCGTGCAGCTTTTGAAACCACACCCTCCTGTTGTCCACTCACTAATTCAATCGTGTCGATATCTTGACCCTTGTACGTAATCTGCCACAGTGAACGAATGATCGTATTGATCTCCTCCACTTTCTTTGAGTGATACTGCAACAGCGATTCGTCAAGCGCCTTAAAATAGCGATCCAGGTCTGCTACAGCCATCTGCGTTGTCTCAAACTGAATCAGCTTGTGCCGATATTTCTCTTCAGCATCCTTCAAATGCGGCGTGCGGAGCTTGATCTTGTCTTCGCGAATATTTTCCATCAGTTGCTGCTTCTTTCCTGTCAACGTTGCACGAGAAACTTGTGCAGTGTGAAGCGTCTTACTAGCTGATGCAACTCGATCATTGACGTCATCTAGCGGTGGCAAATTTCCAATTTGAGCCTTGAGGTCTTCAACTTCAGCACGCATCTTCTGCAAGTCTTTTTCGAGAGCACGATACTCCAGGTTGTCCTGGATGTGTCGCTTGACAATTTCATTCTCGCTAAGGCTCTTCTCCGCGCTCTTCATCTGAGGTAATAAATTCGCCAACGATTGGTTTGCTGTATCCTCCTTCTGCTTTGTTTGGGCAATACGTTCGCTCAGCGATTGAGCTTCACGCTCAAGTTTCTCAAGTTCTCCACGTTGAACCTGCTTGACTTTATCACTAAAGACACGAAAGTCTCCTTGGCTTTCCTGAAGCTCGGAACTTTTAGCTCGTAGACGATCCCTTGCCTCTGCACGCCGTGTGTCACGTTCACTCGTTTTTGAGCGAACGCTACGTTCTAGCTCAGGCTCCGACTTTTTCAGCTTCGAGCACGCCTCCTTCAAGACCTTTTCTTGCTCACGCAACCGATTCTGCTCTTTCACCGTCTCGTCGTATTCCTTACGCTGGGCCTCCTTCCTCAGTTTTTCTTCTTTACGATTGTGTAGATCGTTTTGCAACTGCTGTAGCATTTCGTGAATGCGGTCCAGTTCTCTCTGTTTCCGTTGAAGCTGGTGATTCAGATCCTGCACTTCAGCTTGCTTTGCATCTTTTTCTAATTCCACATCCGACAACGATCGACCTGCTCCATGACTTCCTGCTGTCAAGGCACTCATATGTTCTTCTTCTTGACTGATAGCCACGTTGGAAGAGTGCAACTCATCTGCAGATTTACGCAATGCATTCAACTCGGACCTCGCCGTCTTTGCATCTTCGACCTGCTCCTGTGCTTGCTCATATGCGACTTTTTTGTCTTGCACGTCATATTCGAGCGCTTTCTGGGAAGCATAAATCTCTTCCAGCACATTTACCTTCTCTGGTATAGTGGTCTCGAGCTCCATCCACTTACGCCAATCCGGCATCTTCTCCTTAATGTCTGTCAGCGTCTGGAGCGATGACCTTTCCAGATCTTTGGCTTTGTTGATTTTGTCTGCAACCTTCGCGTCATCGGTCTTTTCATTCAAAATGCTTTCAAAAGCGTGCTCTTCCTCAGGGGTCATATCACGCTCGCAAAGCGGGCAACAGTGATCCTTAACTCCCTTCTTCTTATAGATCTTGAGGAATAGCACCATATTGTTGCGACGAACAACCTTGTCTTTCGCATCAGCGTAAGATCGTTCCGCCTCCTTTATCCCAAGCTCAGCATACTTTAGACCGTGACCGGGAATAACCTTGTCGAGTAGCGCTTTCAAACCAGGCATGTGTTGCCTCTCTAGTTCATTCTTTCTCACACGCAGTGAATTCAATTCCTTTTCAGCAAGTTTCGACGATGTCGTGTTTTCCATCAGACGCTGCTCAGCGAGCGCTAGTTCCTTCTTCTTTGCATCGCAGGTGCGTTGGCGCTCGGATATAAGGTTGTCAATTCGGGCAACAGCCGACACCAATGAGGCTTTGTTTGTTGGTTTCTCACCGCCTTCCAAGATCTCTTCAAAGTCTGACACCTTTTCGTTTAAGTTGGCCTGGAAAGTTTCTTGTCTCTTTCGGTATTCACTGCGTTTGATCTCAAGCTCGGACTTTTGGTGATTGTAGGTACGCAGCGTGGTAATCTGCTGTCCCAGGTCTTCCATTACGCTGCTAATATCGTTAATCTGTCGGTTAAAAACTTGGATCTCGGCTTTCAACGCTCCTATATCGTGCTTCTTCTTATAATCCGCCAAAGTTTGCTCCGCTTCTGTCACCTGCGTGTTGATTTCTTCTGCTTCTCGCTGAGAGTGAAGACCTGCACTACCGAGCTCTACCAGACGGTTCTCAACAATTGTTTTGTCCCGGCTCAACGCTTCAAGACTTTGCGTCTTCGCATTTAATTCATTGCGTAGATGTTTGACCTGCGACGTTAATTCCGACAACTCCGTAGTCAACTTGTCGTCATCTTGTCTTTGCTTTGCGTCCAAACTATTCACCGCGTTTTGTTTTTCTTCGACAATGTGTTTGAACTCTGTCAAAAAGGCCGAAACATCGTCATGCTGCGACGACAATGGTTGCAAGTGGAAACGATACTTAGTACTGAGCTTCGAAGCCGAATCTACGAAATCCGCCACTTTTTTCTGGTACGTGTCAATGTTTGTTTCCACTCGTGCTTTCGACGCCCGCAATACCACGTATTCCTCTTTAACTGTATTCTGTTCCATCTGGAGTCTCGTTTCCTCTTGTTGGAATCTGGAAAAAGCGCTTTGATGTTTTTCAATAATGGCATCATAGTCATTTAACACACTTTGCAGCTCTTCATCCGTGTCGCTCATAATATTTTCAATTTTACCATACGCACGACGTACACTCTGTTCCTTGCCACCAAGATCTTCCTGTCGTCTTATCAACTTGTCATGCAAGTTTTTCACGTCCACTTGAAGCACTTGCAATTCCTCGAGCGTTTCGTTCGCTTTAACAATCTCTTCCTCTTCTTTTTCTTCATTATCTTTTGCATCCTTTAATTTTTCCTGTTTCACTTGCAACGCGTCCCAGAGATCACGTCTAATCTTGACATTTCCCGTCAACACATTTAAATCACGTTTATAATCCTTCGCATCATCCACTCGTGCTTTTTTCAACTTCCGAATGGCTTCCAATGCTTTTGTATATCGTGCCGATTCAAAAATATAATCAAATCGTTTTTTCAATTCCGCTCCTTCTCGTAATGGCCAATTGGAATCTTCTTGATGACAAAAAATCACATTTTCCAAAATCGCTTTCGATACCCCCAACATTTCGGGTATATGATGATCCAATTCCCCACATTTATGACTTAATGACACCTTCTCTCCAACTTCATTTATTACTCGAATCACCCCATCCAATGCTTTAAATTGCAGATTTTTCTTCGTCTGACGCACTTGATACGTCCGTTGGACGACCATGGCTTTTCCAGCGTGATTACGTAATCGTAATCGAATACTGGCTTTCACTTCATTGGTATTGGCAAGTTTCGGATCATAAACGAGACTGTGACCACTACGAGCACCTGGAGGGAATCCACCTGTACACGCTAATTTGAGACATTCAATTACGGTGGTTTTACCACATCCATTATCACCTAAAAGAACAGTTAAGGGATGATAAAATTCAATTATTTCTTCCCGATTGGGACTAAAACTACGAATACCACGGATGGATAATTTTTCAATACTTGACATTTTTTTTTTTTTAGAGGAAAGGGTTTAGTATAGTGAAAGGAAGTGAAAATGGAGGTTAGAGAATGGTGGGGAGGTTTTCTTGGTTTTATAATGGTTTTATGCGTTATAACACATTGATTTTTTTATTCTCTTTGGTTTTAAATTTTGGTGTCACGATAATGTAGTTGCACGTTTGGCGATTCGTCGCATTGTAGGTACGCACGTACTTACGCGTCGTTTCGCATCACAAGTTTTACACGTCGTTTTCTGCTGTTTCTTTACATATGTTGCACCTATCTCTTGGATAAGTATCTCAAAGAAAACCCTGTGTCGTATCCACAATCAAGACATACAGTTGTAATATATATATATACGTGTTTGCCACGACAATTTGTATACACAATGTAAACATCCTTCATTCATTTTAACAGGTCATGTATACACACTCTACAATTCAAACTTCCACACCACTTGCTCTATAAAAAGATACGATCTTCACCAACACCACGAAGCGACAGGGACAAGACGTCACGTCTCTGTCCCGTCTGAAAAATCTTCGTCGTACCAGATGGTATTCCTTCCCCCCTAGCCCTACCTCATTCCTTGATGTACCGTACCTAAAAAAACCATCCAAAGGGGGGGGGGGGGGAGTCTTTTAATTGTTGCATTCTTCTTCTTCTTCTTCTTCTTCTTCTTCTTCTTCTTCTTGTCGTTTGTATCGGATCAAATGCAAGCCCCCTCACCTTCTGGTGACGACGTCTCGTGACGATTCTTTTTCACTTGTTTTTTGTATACTGATATCAACATTCATGTATTCTTTCCCCCCCCCCCCCCCTCTTTCTTTTGTAGGTTTAGCCAATGGCGTGTCACCCGTGCGTTCCCAGAGCAAGAAACCATCACCCGCAGATTTTATGTTTGGTGCAACATTAGGCGAAGGAGCGTATGCACGAGTATGTTGTTTATTACTATTGAGAGAGAGAGGGGAAGGGGTATTTATGAGGTTTATAACAGGTGAGGGGTTTTTTTTTTTTTTTTTTTTTTTGTAGGTGGTCCACGCACGGATGAAGGATTTGGAGGTGGAATATGCAGTGAAAATTATGGAAAAACGGTTTATACGCAAGGAAAAGAAAGTGAAATTTGTCATGATGGAACGAAAAGTCTTTAGCAAGATCTCGCATGATCGGGTGGTGAAACTTTTTTTTACGTTTCAGGTAATGACGAGGTCATGAGGAGTTGTGTGGTTGGGTTGTGGGCTCATGCCCGTGCTTTTCTTTTGTTTGGTTATGGTTTTGGATATTGAGACAAAGTTTTTATAATGTTGTGGGATAGGATAACAGCTATTTGTATATGGTGATGGAGCTGTGTCGAGGTGGTGAGCTGCTTGAAGTTATCACGTACGAAACCTTTTTTGTTTTGGTGGATAGATTTGGTTTTTCTTTTTGGAAGAAAAGTATTGACGTTTGAGTGTTATAATTTGATTGATCATGTGGTGGTTGGATAGCAAGCATCAAAAGGAACAGACGGCTGCAGGATACACGGATCGCGCGTGCTCGCTTGAGCTGACGCGATATTATATTGCTGAAGTGGTCGTTGCTCTCGAGTATTTGCACCAGAATGGTGTCATTCATCGTGATCTAAAGCCTGAGAATATTCTACTTAGTGATGATGGCCACCTCAAGGTCACTGACTTTGGTACAGCTAAGGACGAGACGGAAGAAAGCCGTCATAATACGTTCTGCGGTACGGCTGAATACGTGTCACCCGAGGTGCTGCGTGATCAGGAAGCGTCCCGTGGCTGCGATCTGTGGGCCATGGCTTGCATGGTCTTTCAGTTACTTGTCGGTCGACCCATTTTCCGCGCCGAAAACGAGTATCTCACTTTTCAACAGATTTTAAATCACCCAGCCGAAGATTTTGCGTACCCACCAGGATTCCCAGCGGTCGCAAAGGATTTGATCGATCGCATTCTCGTGCAGGAACCGAGTGGCCGTCTCGGTGCTGGTTCGAATGAAGATGGCAACGGATACCAAGCTTTGAAGTCGCATCCGTTTTTTGAAGGCATTGACTGGGATTCCGCTGGATACACGCAGCCGCCTTACATGCCAGAGATTGGTCGGCTGCCGCCTACGGAATATGTAAGAATTGGATCTTCGAGACGATTGCGACTGAATCATTACGCTCATACCTTGCCATGTTGTGTTTAGGATGGTGCAACCGAAGATTGGCTATTCGCCGGTGTTGCGACTGAATTGCAGGTCTCGTCGGGACTTGCATTAGACCCTCTGCCTTCTCCGTACGTGTATTGCTGGATTGTCGCATGGAGGTGTGAGGTGATTGATTTCTTACGCTGTGTCTAAATGTTATGTGCTCCATTGTAGGGCGGAGCATGTTAACGTAGTGGAAGTGGCCCGTCAGAAGGCAGCAATACCGCCTGCAATGCGGCGTACAAGTTCACTCTGGAACCGATTCCTGCTGGATGATGAGCTGATTAAGATGGGCGGGCTCATTAGCAAACGCAAGGGCCTTTTTTCGAAGAAACGCCAATTGATTCTGACTTCGAAGCCCCGTTTGATTTACATTGACCCCATTAGAATGAAGCAAAAGGGAGAGATTCCATGGTCGAATGATCTCTACGTGAATTCCAAGAGTGCGACTGCATTTGACGTCGTGACGGTAAGAGACGCCAAGAAACCCATGATGGAAAGGGAGTTTTGTACACTGACATTTTCATTGTCTGTTTTTGAAATGTGAAATTGCTGCTTGTTGTAGCCAAACCGGGTGTACCATTTGAATGATCTCGTCAACGGGTCAAAGAAATGGATCGAGGCCATTAACGCAGCGCTAGTGTATGGAAAGTAACGACGACCCAAGCGATTCTTTGTACGCTGTTGCAAAACAAAACATAAAAACGGATTGCCGTACATGTTGAGTAGACGCTGTTTGTGCAGTCGATGTCCCTCAAGCATCAACAAAAGGAGTCTGCCTCAGAGAAATCTCAAAATGTAAATTTTCATCCGGGTTTGTACTTTTGTCTTTCAACCTCCATCACTCCATCTCTCTCTCTCTCACTTTAACCAGCTAATTTCTACCTCATGTCTGTCTAAAGCACAAAAAAAACTAGTTGAGAAGAAGAAGAAGAAGAAGAAGAAGAACCGTCTACTCGTCGTCCTCGTCGGCATCGTTTCCAGCATCATGAATGTTAAAGTACCGAAGCTCGTACGTGTTCTTGTCCGATGCAATCACGTGTAAATAATCACGCAATTGTTGTTTCTTCAGATACTTTTTCGTCAAATACTTGAGATAGCGTTTGCTAAATGGCGGAGCCGCTACCACTTGCAATTTCGTCTTCTCTCGCGTGATCTTGACAGCATCCCCAAGGACACCCGTTTTGCCACCAACTTTGATCCGATCATGGAGGAATTTCTCAAACGAAGCCGGATCCAGGACATGATCATTCACTGGAATTGTACAGTCAATTGTAAACTTTAGAAGCTGTTTCTTGCTCACTTTTTTGCTCTTGTGCTACAATAATTGCAAGTGGTGTTAATGACATTATGACAATAATGGGCACGGAGCGAGTGTATTGTTTACATTGACTACTCTGGCAAAGTCACTCTCTCTATAAGGGAAGCCAACAGCTTTTTTTTTTTTTTGTTCCAATGCATATGTGGGACGACCAAATTTTAGTCTTTTTTTGGGGTCGTCCACAGAGAAGAAAACTCTGTTTGCCCGAGCAGAGAAGGTGAACTCTGCAGCTTAGCAACTTATACACTCGCCCCCATGTATAAAAGGGGGAGAGGAACTTACAATCGAAGGAGCCATGACTAGAATGGAATACGCGAGGGAAGGAGATGGTCGGAGAATGACTTCTTTTAGTATTGAAACAAGAATGACGTTTGATGATTGGCTAGAAGAATGACTGGACGAGAGCGGGCTGGAAGTTTTAATGAGATACATGCTGATTGGATGAAAGTAGACTTGACTAGGTGTTTGTATTGGACCTTATAAAGAGAGTTATAGCGATTGGTCTCCGTGTCGACCCTATTGACACCTCTCATCTTGTATCTGGTAGACTCCAAGAAGAACCTTAAAGTGATTCAAGGTACGAGAGGGATAAGTATATAATAATCAAGTTGTTGGCAATGCAAAGTACTTACTACGTGACTATGGTGTTTCTAGATGCGTTACATTGCTGCTTACTTACTTGCTGTTTTGGGTGGTCATCCCTCCCCCACTGAGAACGAAGTGGTCAAGATTCTGCAAGCATCGGGTGTTGAAATTGACAAGGAACGGGTGGCAGCCATTGTAAAGGCAATGGAAGGCAAGAATATTGAGGACGTGATTGCTGCGGGTAGCAAGAAATTGGCCTCATTTGGTTCATCGTGTGCTGCTGCTTCGGGTGGTGTGCTTCGGATGGTGAAGCTGCTTCGGGTGCTGAAGCTGCTAAAGTAGTGGAAAAGGTCGTTGAAGAGGAAGAGGAGATTGACATGGGAGGTGGAATGGACATGTTTGGTGGTGATGAAGACTATTAAACACACACATTGTCACAGGAGCAGCATGTTTCGAGCTCTTTTATCAGAGTAACGACATTTTAATCAATGGAATACTTTGTTAGAAGGAAATGAGACTATCTACTTGGTTGTCTGTCTTGACTAGAGGTTCTCGTTTGAATTGGCAAGACTCTTCTTCTGTCTATCACCACGTACATCATGCGCCTGTCGAGACAATAGCAGGTCTTTGAAATTCTAGCACGTTACATTGCAACATTATTGCACACTCATGCTTACCTACCGGGATACGTACGCGTAAATAGCGTAGCTGTAAGGACCTACGACATCAGCATGGTGTGGATACGTCACGTTCAATGACGCCTGACGCCTGTGGAATGCATGTTGGTTTGCTTCCTCTGAGTTCATATCGACTTTCCAGTACACAAGCGACAGAATACAGGAACCTAGTAGCCGCTTGACCAGTCCATTTGCAACGTCTTCTGGGAAAACAGTGCCTGCAATATGCGGTGTTACAATCACCTTTGGATGCGACCACCACGAGTTCTCGTTCGGCAGTGGTTCTTGTTCAAAATCATCTTGCATGGCTTTCGTCAGCAGGCCATTGTTTCAAGCGCGGCTATGACACTCGAATCCTAGCGCTTTTCGTTCTCTCTTGTTTACAAGACGCTTAAGCCTTACCACCCAGCACATTCGAGAGTTGTCGTGGTAATGCCGACAAATCCCATGGCTTTGGAAGTACACACAACAGACACGAGCAGGTCGACAATATTGAGCTTGGGTGACTGTTACAGTTTCGCTACGTGGGACGAGGCCGTGCCGGAAATTTGGAGACAACGGGAATCTGTGTCTTGTCGATAGCATTGTAATAGATGGCAAATAGGTGATCCCTTCCTGTTGCACTGGTCTCAATCTATGCGAAAGGATCGGAATCTTTCTATCAATCAAATGGTAGTCAGCAACCGTTTCCAGCAAAGTTTCGCAGAATGCTTTCGTTTGGCGGCACAGCCAACTTCATTTTACTTTTGGAAAGCCGTCACTGACCGACCCCATCATGACTTCTTTGACACGTGAGGACATTGAAACTTATAGGGATTGGCATCCAGCTAAATGGCATCCCACGAAACATGATTCCAAAGGCTTTTGTACGCTGATGAAGACGTACTATGGAGGCGAGAATTTGTCGTTAAAATTGAAGTGGCTGCTTGCCAACTGCGACGCGCCATTATCCACTGATGCGATGGATACTGCTGCAAGTAATGGGGAACTGAACATGGTTATTTGGTTTCACAACAATCGCTTTGAAGGGTGCACTTCTGCAGCAATGGATCGTGCTGCAGCTGAAGGCCGTCTCACGGTTGTCAAATGGCTTCATGACAACCGCAGTGAGGGGTGTACGGTAGCAGCGATGAATGGTGCTGCAACCAATGGCCATCTCGACGTTGTGAAGTGGCTGCATGATAATCGTACTGAAGGCTGCACTGTAACTGCAATGAACAATGCTGCACGTAATGGCCATCTCGATGTTGTCATGTGGTTGCATTTAAATCGTTCCGAAGGCTGCACGGTTACTGCAATGGATAGTGCTGCAACCAATGGTCATCTCAATATTGTAAAATGGTTGCATCAAAATCGTTCCGAAGGCTGCACTACCGCTGCGATGGATGGTGCGGTATGTAATAGTCACGTGGATGTAGCACGATGGTTACATGACAATCGGTCGGAGGGCTGCACCACAGCTGCAATGGACACGGCAGCGGGACAAGGATATCTTGCTGCAATGAAGTGGCTGCATAGTATTCACATGGAAGGCACGTCCGCTGCGATAACTAACGCGGCAGCAAAAGGTTTCTTGGATGTGGTAAAATATCTGCACAAGAATCTCAATCTTGCTGCCACAAACACGTCGATCGTTGCAGCCGCGGAGAATGGTCATCTGCCTGTTGTTGAGTATCTTCACAGGAACCGAGTGGAAAACTGCCAAGCTGAAGCCATCTTTCGTGCCAAGAGAAATGGACATCTTGATATTGTCAACTTGTTGCTGAAGCACGATGAATGTCAACTTGCAGTCGAGGTGGAGAATCGCAAAGTCCTCGCTGACCATATCGTTGCTATTGATCAAGCACTACACTCGTTTCTCAAACTAGTAGTGTCACTGCTTCTGTTCATTCCGCAAGTTGTGGCTGGGTGTTTTCGTCCTCGTACAAGTCAAACTCTGCAGAGCGATTCTGGAAGTCAGGCACGTACTGAACTGGAAGCACGAATTGTTGCTGAAGAAGAAGCTAACATTCGCTCTAAGGTGCAGTCAATCATTCGTGCCGAAGTGGAAGCGGAACGAGAGAAGACGTCTCGAGCTCAAAAGGATGCGGCAATCAACACCACGCAGCAAATAGAGATTACACGCTCGCGTGGTCTAGCCCGTGATTCACCTCGTACGCTTGAGCAGCTCAAGCTCGAGTCTTGGCGTTGAACTAAATAGGAAGCTGCGCGACACAAGGTTGAAACCTCGCAACAGCGTCCTAGTCCATCATTCGTTTTCATAAGATTCCCAAGTTCCTTGAAGGTTTACGTTACTGGTTAACGCATGTTTGGCATTCCTGAAGCCTTAATGAAGAGTGAGATACCAAGATTGACATTGAGTTGTTGGTAAGATAGTCGATACAGCAATAGCTATCTCCCAAATCTAGCACTTTGAGTAGATCAGATTCGACGACCCATCCATGCAAAAGACAATCTCATCAGAACGAAGCCCTATGACCTGCCAAGGCTGAATCCCGGGCGACCAATGGCCACTTGAGTCTTCTTTTCAGTCTTCATGACCTTGCGAGTGTTATCTCGTCCAGACTTCGTCACCTGCGGACTTATAATGGCAGCTCTAGAACCGCTCGAAGCTGAGTATACAACGGATGAGCCATTTATGACCTTTGCGACATCGTCATGTCCTGCTTCAGAGCTGGGCGTTTGCCAATTTACTTGCACGCTGCTACTCTGCTTCATTAGCTCGCGGATGGCTATTGTCGCATCTGAGCCGTACTCCAAATCAAATTCCAGCACTAATGCACGGTGTACAACTGCACTTCCTGTTTGTTTATTCGACAGAAGCCTTGCTTTGTCGTCTGGGATAGAGTTGTCCAACAAAGACGCAGGAGCATTAGCAAGCAAGCGGTCAACGTCATTGGGAATCAGAGGTTCCGTCGGGTCAGTGTAGCATTTTAATTGGAACGACACGCGTGTGGGCTTTCGTACCAAGTGGCGGTATGATCCATCTAGTAGATAGGTTTGACTTCCATCAGGTCCAAAATGCGCATTCAAATCAATCCCGTCTGTCATGAGCAACTTTCGATACGCAGCACCAATCTCGTTAGTGGGGTACTTGATAGCGTGTCCTGGTAGTGGCAGCACCACGTCCTCGAACAAGTACTGGTCTACGTTAGCCTCCGTGAGTTCCACGACCTCCTGGATCGACTGTCTTCTTGTACTCTTTCCAGTCCGCTGGCGCTTCCTTGCTGGTTCACTTGCTCCATTTAAAGTTCGTGAAATGTTCGAGTCAACCTTTTTCTTAAGGACAAAGTCGCCAACTACAGCTGACATCGATGAATACTTCGATATGCGCATACTCGCCATCTCATTCCACACGAAATACTGGTACGCCTCCACAAAAGATACACGGAATGTTTTCGGAATGCTGTTGAATGCTAGCTCGTGCGCATCAATGCCGTGCTTCTGAAGACCCTCGAGAACAGCTCGCTCTGGTACTAAAAAAGGCGGAAACATGCGCAGAGCTGCTGCCACATCCTTGTGCTGGCGAAAGTGTTCTCTCGCAGCCCTGATCTTGCTAGCTTCACCCTCCTGGGGACGAAGTAATAACAGCACAGCCAACTTGTAGTCTTTGCGCAGCACCGCACGCCCAAGCAGGTGATAAGAAGTACTGACGTTGCCAAAGTGGTGTAGACCAAAAAAGTTGATAAACCCACGCGTTTCCCAGCTGCGTACTGCTCGACGTATATCCTTCTCCGACAATTCTTTTTCGTCTTCAGGCAAAGATCGAATCACCATGGCGATGCGGTTACCAGCACACTCGCCCAGCTCAATTTTACGTGATACGTACCGCAAGTCGCCCACAATAAACTGTTGATCTTCCAGCTTCTTTAAACCGCCTGGCCGAAACAAAACCTGAGCACGCTCTTTCAGTACGTGATACACTGTGCAGAGCTGCGTGGTGATTCCACGCTTATCTTTAAGGTCAGCATAGGAAAAATGCGTCGAAGGTATCTTCAACATGGACGCCAGCTGATTAATCACTGCTGTCGTGTCCTTGTTGCGTTTGTAAAGCGTGAACTGCAAGTAATCCGCTGCGAAATATTAACAACAAAATGGCAACTTCATTCGTCAGTTCTGAAGCGTTTCATAAACAAACTTTCGCACGGAAGAAACCACTTACGTTGTCCAACAGGCCAATCCCTTTTATCATCTCTTGCACTTGGCAACAACTTGACTGCAAACTGAGGCCTGACACGAATGACTGCCGTATCGCTGCCAATAGTAAGCGTATCCGCAACAATCCTCGTCTTGCCATACCTCCTCATTGTTTCATGGATTGACACTCGGTCTGCCTTGTCATTTAGTCCTCCAAGATAGAACGACAGTCCGTCTGCTGCTGCTAATGCCGCTTCGTCTTTATTTTGCTGCTTTTTCGACTCAAACTCGACTCTTGTTTGCTCAACTTTGGCAAGAAACTGCTCAAACTCTTTGCCTTTTTTTCTCCAATCTCCTTTGTCATTAACACCACCAATTGTCGTAAATGGTACGCTTCTTGAGCCTTCTGACCGCATTTTTGCAGCTTTAATGACATTTGTTGCAGCTTTCGAGCCACTTGACGCACTGCACCAATGATCTGATCCTTGTCCTGCTGAGAATGTCCCGTATTCGTCTCGTGAAAGGTCCTTGTACCCAATACAAAGTCCAATACACGTTCCTGTACGACCAATTGCACGTTTTTGCTCTTCTTGGCGACATTCTGGAGCGTTATTGGCTGCTTGGAAGAGAGTGACAGTTCGTGTACGATCACATCAGCAAAACGATGCTTCAAAACGCCCTGAAAACCGCTTTGACTTGGTGTTAAAAACCCCGAAATACCCGTCACTTCTTCATTGATACAGACCTTTTCATGGTCGTTATACCCTTCATTTTTATACCACAAAGAAGGTGAAGCACGACCATTCGTTCGTCGAAATCTCTGGGTCTGATTATGCTCGTAGCGACGTCCAGTGGGGTGTCGACGCGACGTCATTTATGATCCGATCGCTCTCGGCTTTTGAGTTGAATGGTGGTGGTTGACATGCAAAAGAATGACAAGGCAGTACAACGAGGTTGTGTAAAACGGACATAAATGAAATGATACGGTAAAAAGGTGAGTGGCACTCGATCGAGGGATAAAGCGTTGAAACGTCATAAAAGTGAATGCATTCCTAGTGACCACCAAGTCGCACGTAACCAAAAGCGTAACCTGCTGCTGCTAGCTACGATGAGTATGGAAGCGGACAAGATACGCGCTGAGTCGCTATTGTTACAGACCATTGAAAATGAAGGATCTGTGGTTGACACGTATGCGTTTTCACTATCCAATGGTCTGTCACATGAGCTCGTCGTGGGCGTCATGAAGTCGCTACTAGTAGACGCGTTCGTAGTCGACACGGAGCATTCGACGTCCTTTTATGTGCTGAAAGACGAAGCGAAAGTGATCCTAAAAAGTGGGTCACCTGAAATTCAGGTGTACCACGCTATTCCCGTGACGGAGGGAATCGATCGGCACTCGCTTGAAACAGCTGTTCGGGCAAGTATACTGAAAGTCGGTCAAGGTGTCTGTATGAAGAATAAATGGATCCGATTGGATAAAAACGACGGTAAATTCTACCGCAATGTGGCACACGTAAAGGACGAGGTGATAGAGATGTTGCAACGTGTGGAGAGACAGGACGGGGCGCTGTCAGCCGTGAGTAAAGACGAGGCAAATATACTGAAGCGTCGGAAGCTCGTGGAAGTACGGACACGCAAGTCATATGCATTGACAAAAGGAGTCAATTTTGCTCTTCAACGGAAGAAACAGGCAGCTGGTTTGACCAAGGAGATGCTGGATGGGTAAGTGAGAAGAGAGAGAGAGAGAGAAAGGACAGGGAGACAACAGAGGATAGGGATGGGGTTTATTGACAATGTGGCCTTTTTTTGGTGTAGGGACGTGTGGAAAAAAGAGACGTTCAAGCCTTATAACTTCAAGACAATGGGGTTGAATGTTGGTGGTGGACATTTACATCCGCTTATGAAAGTCCGTGCTGAGTTTCGTCGAGTGCTCATGGATATGGGGTGGAGTTGTTTTTTTCTGTGAACAATGTCGGAAATGGAATGAGAAGATATTCATTGTGTTTTTTGTTTACTTCTTCTTTTTTTGTGTGATAGTTTTCAAGAAATGCCGACGAATCGATACGTTGAGAGCAGCTTTTGGAACTTTGACTCACTGTTTCAGCCTCAGTCGCATCCTGCTCGTGACGCCCACGACACGTTTTTCCTGACTCGTGCGTGGAGAATCGTTTCTTTTGTGTGAACAATGAACGTGAGGATGACAAGTGACTTTATGTTTTATTTACAGAGCCCAAGTACTGTCTGACGGTGCCAGAAGGCTACTACCAGCGTGTCCACGATATGCATGAGAACGGTGGCTTTGGCTCTATCGGGTACGCAAATGTTGACACTGCTGATTTTGTAAAATGTACTTACCTTTTAACTTACAATTTACTTATGCTGCAGCCACGGCCGTGGCGCCTTTACGCGTGAGACGTCCATGACAAACATCCTGCGCACGCACACGACGGCCATTTCGGCGCAGATGCTGTACAAGCTGGCGAACCAGCCCGGTGGTTTTACACCGCAGAAGTACTTTTCCATCGACCGCGTGTTCCGTAACGAAAGTATGGACGCGACTCATTTGGCCGAGTTCCACCAGGTCGAGGGCGTCGTGGCAGACTACGATCTCTCGCTGGGTGACCTCATTGGAATCATCAAGGCCTTCTTTCTGAAAATTGGCATTACGCAGATGCGCTTCAAGCCAGCATACAACCCGTACACGGAACCCAGCATGGAGATCTTTGCGTTTCACCCGGACCTGAAGAAGTGGACTGAGATTGGTAATTCAGGTGTGTTCCGCCCCGAGATGCTGCGTCCGATGGGTCTGCCCGAAAACGTGCGTGTTATCGCCTGGGGCCTATCGCTGGAGCGTCCGACGATGATTAAGTATCGTCTTAACAACATCCGCGATCTCTTCGGCCATAAGATCGACCTCGAACAGACCCGATCGGCCAAGCTTTACCGCTACTAGACGTAGAGACGGACGCCCGGTAAATGCCTCGATGGAATCTGATAAAAGTTGATGATTACCAGGTAATAAGTGAGTTTCACAGACTCCCTGCAATATGATCACTTTCATGGCAATAGCCAAATACGTCTATCTATACTTGGTCAACCTGCGGATCATTAGTATCCAAGCTCTGCAGCAATTTTCTTGACCTCCTCCCAGAAGATGAATGTGAAGATAGTATGCGGACCTAGCCGCATGTAGTGTGCCGCCCAGCCTTTGTAGAAGCCTCGAATACCCTCACTCTTCAAGGTCTTCACGATGCAATCCATCACACCCGAGTACAACTTGCCCTTGCCATTCACCACTTTTTGACTGTATATCCGCGTCGACACTACATCCATCGGGTTCATAGCCGTCGTCACCGCCAGACCCGTCAAGATACTCGCTGTAACACACATACATTTCCAGTGAGATATTTATCATCATCTTTCACAATCAGCACGATAAACTTACAGCCCAAATGAACCTTTATACCGTCCTCAAAGCCTGCAGCAATCACCAGTGTCTTTGCTTGTGTGTACGTTGCCAACTGTGTACCAGAACCAATCTATACCACCACCCAAGCCAACTCAAGTCAGAATCAGCACGAAATCTACCATGACCAGTAAAAATGAATCTCCAACATACCGCAACACGTGGAATCGATGCTGTCGCACCACGATAAAGTCCTTTCCATCCATCTGTCTTGACAATTTGTCGAAATCCGTCCATCTACACTCACAAAACCAGCATTTCATCAGCATTCCTTCACTCAACCTCTTCATCTTTTCTCTCTTGTATACCATTCCATTATATGCATATTGTGCATTGATTGTTTCTACTGAACTAGCAGCTTGAATTCTTGCTTTCACAAGATAAAAGGGACTCCCAATTGATGCACCAATCATACCAGACGTCGCAGCAGCACAAATGTTCCGTAATGGATAGGACAGGGCAGTTGGATCGGTAGCACCATACACTTTTTGCAAAGGTTCAAATAACCCTAATCGTGGTCCATTCATGAAAATCTGATACCAAATCCCCGGTCCAAGACCGCGTTGAATCCCATAAAGTCCTTCCGTCCGTCCAATGGTATAAAACGCATGGGCAAAATTACGATATTGTATTACAGAGTGTATACCACGTCGTGTAACTTTTGGAGCTAGCTCCCCTTGTAATTGCATACGTGTTTTGACAACTTCCATGGGGTTCGAGACGAGACAGGCACCACTTGTGGCGATACTGGCTAAGAAGAAGTCCATTATGATGCCACGGTCTCCCATTGTGTGAACGTACGTATGAATGGATGCAAAAGTGGTGATGATGTCACTGAGACGAGGGACATGAGTGGGGTAAGTTATTTACATTAGTATGACAAATCTCTTAACTTTATTTTTAGGAAGACGTAAAATATATAAAATAAAGAATAGAAAAATAACACGGCGTATATTCAGGACAAGAATCGGTACAGCGCTAAAACCTAATCTTGTGATGATATCCGGATAGTATACGCTCTGGTATATTTTTGGTATTTTGGTATATATTTTTTTTGATGGTATATTCGTCTTTATTATTATTAAAATGACTAAAAAAACACCAAAATGTCATCGTTATACGTCCGCGTCATCATCCTGAAGCTCTAAATGAATATCAGCCTCAACAATGTATGGAATGGCTTCAATGGATCTATATAAAAACACACATAAAAGTCACAAGATGCATAAGTATGCAGTAAAAACAGCCTCAGACACGCCACCAAGTACATGATCGTACTTTCTCGCTTTTTTCGCGACAGCGTACACTGCACCGACTTTCAAATCAGGCTGAACAAGAATGGCAACATCAACGACCGTGCCCTGGTGTGGTACCCAGTGCGTATTGATGTGTGTCATTCCAGTGATCTCTGGGATAGTTGCTAATGCGTAGCTGACGTCATTCTTGATCTCCCTGTACGGACGCAAATCTCTTTTACTCATATCACTTGTATCGTTTGTGAAGCAACCAAACTGGCCTACAATGGCGACCACATGCAAGGTTAAAAGCCAAGTACTTTGCCAATGATTAGAAAAAAGGTTTTCATCATGATTTGTACCGAATTGAACGTCGATATGGACCAGGACCTCCGATACGTCAGGGACCTCGTTTAAAATATGAGATCGTACTTGCTCTGAAATCTATAATATCTTGCACAGTTAGTTCCATTAGACATCAACTGTCTTCAGATTCTTCTTACCTGCTGAGCCATGGAAATACTCGTTCGGGCATCAAGCTACAAAAAACAATCATCAAAATTCAAAGGATTAGGTCTTTATAGCAAACAGAATTCTACGGGAATTGACGTACGTGAACTCGTAAGTCCACGAGTGTATACGGTCCCATTCGACGAGCTCGGACTTGCGATACGTGCAATACGTCATCAACACTACCAGACTTCAAATGCAAGAGTATACAACATGTTAGTGAGTCAGATATTGACACCCCGCATCTACATGTTTGACTTCACGCACCACTTCTTCCAGCGTTTCGAGTACTTCTGCCTCGACAGTGTTATCGGTAAGTTCTTGAACACTGTGCACCAAGGAAAAGCATCCCGCGTTAGTCTAGACATTGACCGGAAGCAGAATAGATCAACAAAGGACGCGTTCCTATCAAAGCAGATTTCGCCACCAGTTTTCACGATCATCGCTGCGACTGCCATACCAGCAACTGTTCAAGCACCCGCTGAAGATGATTAGCGTACCATGCATAACACAGCTTTCAAGCATACAGACACAGCGCACCTGGGTCAAGGAAAGGTACCCCTGCCATCGAGCCGACAATACCACCGAGAGCCACAATAGAAGAAATTGCATCCGTGCGGTGATGCCACGCATTTGCAATCAGTACCTTGCTATTTGCCTGCTGGCCAATTTTTACAGTTGCACGATACAAAGCCTCCTTTGCTGCAATGGATACGGCTGCAGCACCCGCCGCGAGAATCCATTGCCAGCTTCGATCCAGTTCTGTTGCAATCCACGAATGCATGGGTATACGTATCATAACCAGCAATAGAAACAGCTCCTGACATACGAGAGAGATATGGCAAGTAAAATTCCGGCACATTTGTGGCACTATTGCCGGTCCAGATCTCTTGGATAACCTGAAGTCCATCCGCGCCAATTCCGAAGCCACAGACCACTAAAATCGCGCCAACCGACAGCGACCCCACAGCTTCGTACTTTCCATAGCCTGTCATCAATAAAGGCAATAGAATAAGTCACTACAGTCAATAACCTGTTCAATACAGATTAATCTCAAAAGAGAAAGCCTCAAGTTCCCAAACCGTAAGGATGCTTTTGATCAGGAGGCAATCGTGCCACCTTGACACTCCAGAGTGTCACAACATCAGAGAGTAAATCCGACAGCGAATGAGCAGCATCAGCAATCAACGCGCTCGAGTGAATAGTCAACCCAACAGCACTCTAATCCAATTGCCACAACGCCAAATTATCAGCAGCTCAGCAGTAGAAATCAAAGCTCTTTAACGACCAAACTTTTGCAAATCTTTTGCTCGTACTTTGGTTGCCGCCATAGCCACGTTCACATACATTCCAATGCGTGTGATCTTCATGGCTTCATCACCCTGTCTAAAGTGCGACACTGAAGGCGTTTGAACGTTGTCTTGCACTTGACTACGACGTGAAGACTCCGAGCTAAAACTGATCTTGTGCTTCACAAGTCGAAGATCTTGTCGCCATGGCCTTAAAGACGTGTATAAGACACTGTAATTACTTGCAACGCGGGACTTGAGCGATCCAACGGCGCGGCCACGCACGCGATACATAGTGAATATGGTGTGTCATACAAGAAGTGAGACCCTTTCCAAATTGATCAGTGACTGAACAATTGATTACCGGTCGATTTAAGTGAGACTTGTTACATCTGCTATGAAATGATTACTCCATTTTTTCGTATGAATCCATGCAACAAAGTGAGTGAGGACACCGATATAAAATTAACTTTATCCTATTATCATCCTGCTTTCAATTTGCTCTCGCTAAACACTCGAGCGGAATGACATTTTCTAAAAGGTAACGAGACGTATGTTTTGACATTTGGCGTGAGCTACTACATGTCCGACAAGTTGGTCCCCATACGATCTACGACCATCATTCTGGACCAGGGAAATGGGAACATGCATGTGTATTCCACACTCTGCACGCCACGTGGTCACGATGACAGTCGACAGGTGACGTTTGCAGATCTGTTACGTCAAAACGTGGGAGTTTGTTGCCGTCTCCCACGGCACTACAAGTCTCACTTGAGTCAATTATCTCCCAAGTTCCCATGTCTTGCACACACGTATCTTCCATGCACGGGCAAAATGCAACAACACCATGGAAGTCGACATCGTTGCCATCACTGCAAAAAAGCTAAGAAGTGACCGTTTCAATGAGAATTTGGCCTCGTCATTTGACGGAAAACCGTCGCGCTGTGGCTTTGAATTTTTGTGACCGGCCCGTTCGACGACCCATTGCGCCAGTCTAAAAGGAAAGACAAAGCACATGATTGGCTCTTCGATATGTTCGTCCGTCACGCCGTCACGATCAGTTACACCCCATGTAACGGCCTGTCGCTGCACCGGATGTTTTGCCACCCAGTTGGTACTATCGTAGGCGGGGGGGGGGGGTAGGCGGGTAGGCGTTGCAGTGAAGCAACGTTGTGTGTGACTCAAAAAGACCATGTACAGTGTCATGATTAAAATGGGGATAAAAGCATTTCACTGTACAAAAGCGCTCTTAACAAGTCGTGCCTCCAAAAAAAACTTGAGATGTACACACTCTAATGACAAATAGTCGTCGCAGTTCAACTACACATGTGCTACGTCATTACAGTAATCATATGTAGTAGTAGCCGTCATTCTCCCGCAATCGTACGTACTTTACAAGAATCTACTTGACTCGTCTGTCGTTGAGAGAGTCCCATCTTTTGTCAAAAGTGCAAGATCGTCGCGGGTAGGGGTTCGTATAACCTTCCCTGTCGCTCCGTATGCATGACTCCCCCCTCTCTCCCCAGCCGCCCGCTCCCACCCACCATCAAATTAACTCAGTAGACAAAAAGACGGCTCGGGCTCAGGGCCAAAAAGAGGAAAAAAGAGCTTTTTTCGATAATTCATTAGAAGACGTAACAGGACGTCCTTTGTCACACATTTGAACACCTCGTTAAAGAGATGACGACTCCAAAAATGGAGGAGAATAGCACGGTACGCTAGACATACAAACAGATAGATAAATAGAGAGATTCGAGTGAATATCGATTCCTTTCCATCCAGTATACTCATTTGCTAATTGGAATCTTTCTTGCCTTGTATGTATGTATGTATGTATGTGACACAGCTCGGTCGTCAGCTCTCTGCTGCTAATGAAGAAGCTTGGTTATCTCTTGGTCGTATTGCTGAGATGATGGGCGACGATGAAAACACAATGCTTGCTTATGAGAAGGTCTTGTCACATAATCGACTGAATGCGACGGCATTATTCGCTATTGGCTGCTGTTATGAAAAGGTTGAAGATTATACAAAAGCGGCCGATTGTTTCCGTGGTCTTGTGTCGCTGAATGAACAAAACTCGGACGCTTGGGGTCACTTGGGCTATTGCTGTCTCATGATGAACGACCTAACGAGCGCCCATACGGCCTATCAGTACGCCATGTATAACAATCCAATGAGTCAGAAGGACCCAAATATGTGGTACGGCATTGGTCAGCTCTATGAACGTCTTGGGTCCCTTGAGCATGCACAGGAATCCTTTGAAGCTGTTCTTCGCTTTGAACCAAACTTTAATATGGCTTTGGAGGTGAAATTTCGTCTTGGAATCATTGCAAAACAACGTGGAGATTATGAAGGGGCACTGGAGAGACTCAAGTCGGTGCTGCACGATGTGCAGGCCAATGTACAGACTACTGAAATGGCGAGTGATATCTGGACACAGATTGGACACGTGTATGAGCTCAAGGATGAAATTCAGCTTGCCAAGTCCAGCTACCTCAAGGTAGCAGAAGTGAATCCCAACAATGCCAAGCCGCTGCAACAGCTTGGTTGGCTATGCCTTAAGCACAGTGAACATCCACCTGCTATTGAATACCTGAAGAAGGCTGTAGCCATTGATCCTCAAGATGGGAAGGGGTGGTACCTTCTTGGACGATGCTACATGGCCGTGCAAGAGTTTGAGGAAGCCTATGATTCGTACAAACATGCCGTGACGACGGATTCGCAGAACCCGAACGTGTGGTGCTCGCTCGGTGTATTATTCTACCAGTTGAATCAGCACCTGGATGCACTAGATGCGTACTCACGTGCTATCAATATCAACCCCAACATTTGCGAGGTCTGGTACAACGTTGGAACATTGTACGATACCTGCAATCAAACCAGCGACGCTCGTGATGCCTATCAAAAGGCTGCCGAGCTTGGAGCGGACGGGCAGTTTATTCGTGAACGGCTGGAGCTCCTGCGTGTTCGAGAAACTGGTCAGTCCACAATCGGCATGGCTGGTGCTAACTCAGCACCTGGCCCTTCGGAGCCGCCCACCACATCCCCTATGCCGACGTTTTCATCGCGACCCTCGGCGGAGACTCAGTACCAGGCACAGCAGGATGGAGCCGCTGCGCAAGGTGCTCAGCCCAACGGTGCCTCGTCTGTAAACCAAGGTGCACCGATGGCGCACGTGTTGCGCGGATGCGAGGCCCCCATAAACATGAGCATGAGCATGAGCATGGGCAGTGCACCGACCTCAAATTCGATGAGTGTTAGCGGTCCTGAGTCCAACAGCAGCATGACACGTGGAATGCCTGTGGGAAGTGCTGGTATGAATATGATGCGTGGAATGGGCCGTAACGCCCCGATAAACGGTAGTAGCATGATGGCACGCGGTGTTCTGGGCGGAATGGTGCCTGGTATGCAGCATCCGCCGCAGGCTCAGCAGATGCAATCGCAGCACCCTCAGGCCCAGGCACACGCACAAGCCCAGGCACATGCTCATGCCCAAGCCCAAGCACAGGCTGCTCAGGCGCAGGCTCATCATCACGCTCAAATGCAAGCCCAAATGCAGGCACAGCAGCAGCAACATGCGCAGGCTGTGCATATGCAGCAGGATGGCCGTCGAGGGATGGCCGGTCGGTCCATTAAGGAGGAGAGCAAAGTCGGAGGAATGCGTTACGCAATGGATGGCGGTGACCGTAAGTTGCAGGCACCGCCGCAGCGCCTGGCTGGACTAAACCCGAAGAATCTGGGTGGTCCTACAGGTGTTCCACAGGGCGGCCGTCGCGATCGCTTTCCAATCCCCATGAGTGACCCGAAACAGCACCAACACCCGTCGCTCCAGCCGCCCCCCGGCAGACGGTGAAGTGAGCGTAAGTGTCGGTTTCTGCTGCGCACATCGTCTTCATCTTTGCGTTATGGAGCCCTCCGGCTATTGAAGCGTTCGAAGTCAACAAGTAGTTAGCGTGTGTGTTGGAGCACTGAACCTGATAAGAAAGAGTGACATGGAACTGTAAACCTTGTTGATAAGCACTTGTGTTTTCTTCGTATGCACTGATCCAATCATGTACCTACGCCGTTGGAAGCAGTTCCAATAATTGTTCTCTATTGATACCACGAGATAAGTCCTGACCTTCCTACTTCTTCGGCTGACGCTGACGGATAATCTGGCCCTTAGGTGCTTTGGCACCAGGCCGCAAAAAGCGGTGTTTTTTGTCTGAAGCTGCCACCTCTGACGGCTTCTGTACAGCTCTTGCCTTAATCTCGGTGGTTTTTGGTTTCTTGTCCTTTGTCTCCTTCTTCTTGTCAGGAAACATGTACGTGTCCGGCTCCTCACCAACCTCTTGGCGGTAGTAATCCACGTCGTCCAATTCAGAATCGTCATCGTTGCCACCATAATCGGCAGTAGTCTCATCGTGCTCATCATCATCTTCGCCCTGCTCACGCTTGCGCTTGTGTTCTGCCTTGCGCTGCTTTTTGGCATCTTTAACCTCTTGCTTCTTAGCCACGTTCTCATCCTGCTCTTCACGGCGTTTACGTTTGAGCGCCACCGCCGCTTCATGCTTTGCTTTTGCCTTTGCAGACTCTTCTGGCGTCTTGGTCTTGTACGCATGATACAGCACGTCACCTTCGCAAATGCCGCGTTCGACCTTAGTCAGACTAAGTGTAAGGCGCGGCCCAATCTCCGTTAATCGCACAGCACTCCTCTCTGCTTTACGATTGCCACGACCACGAAACGAGTCCGGGAGCGTCACATGCGATGCCTCATCGTCCACTTCACTATCCGAGGCTGAGCCAATACCAGCACCATTGCCTAGGACGTACTCACTGATATCCTCCAAATTATTCAAGTTGGGCACCTTGGCTTTCACAATTGTCTTTGCACTCTTTGAAAGTCCAAGTGGCGCTGCACGAATCATATACTGACGGAACTCGACCGTATCCGTCTCTTTCTCGTAGTTAAACAGCACCACACGTCGACATTCCGACAGTGCCACCGTCTGCACGTCAATAGCTGGAAACATGTTTTGGAACGTCACGTTCATCAATTTAATATGGTCATCGGGTGCTGTAAAATTATTAAGCACCACCAATGGCTTGGACTTTTGTGCCTGCGAAGCATCCACTGGACGTCGTACAACCAAGTGCATTTGACTCATAAGTGAGTACTTGATCACCTTAAATGACAGTGTTGGTCCTCGTGGAATACGTGCAATCTTGAGGTTGGTACCAGCTTCCGTATTTGTAAAAAAGATAAAGTGGGTGACGCCCAAAGGGGCACCCACGTGCACAAAGTCCTTGAGCGTGTTCTTGCGTTTCTCGCGAAGCTTGTCCGCCGTGTACGGAGCCATGACGCGTCGCATATCTTGCACTAAACTGCTCACAACTCCTGGTACTTTACCCATTTTAAAGACAAAACTCATGGGCGTATCATCCTTTTCTACTGTAGGAGCTTCAACCACATGTGTCCGAGTTTTCCTCTACATTTCACGGCAAAAAAGAGAAAAAAAGTAAGAGGTGATAAGAGTATTGCACTAGATACAATTAAGAGTCAAGAGATAGCAATACGTACGCGTTTGCCTCCTTTACGCGGCATTGTCAACTTTGGACCGGTAAGATAAAGAGCTCAATTAATTGAGACTACTGAATGGCTGGTAGCTGTGGCTCACACCAGTGCTGTGGTCCACATATGAACCCATTTGACAATAGCTACACTTTGAGCACGCCTCGTCACATTTTCAGTACTGGACCGGCTTACATATAAGGCGCATTTTAGCCAAAAAAGTGCTTTTTTTGCTTTTTTGTTTTAGCGAATCCGGACAAAAGCTACATGTAATTTTAACCAATCAGAAGCTATATAGTTTTTGGTTGGTTGTGAGAGTGCCTGGAAGTTCCCAAGCTGTGCCTCCATGTCGTTTGATCATTTACTGATTCTGTGGAGCATCAGCAGCTGAGAAACGAATCAAGAATGGTTGCTTCTAAGAAGTCGGTAGGGGTTTGTTTGTACTCTTTGCGAAGCAAAATAATACGATATAGTGCAATGCCCATCCGATGAAGGAGGTTGCGTATCGATTGCATTGCCTAGTTCTTTTTTAGGCTCGCTACGAGACGTTTCTGCGAAATCGGATGGGAAAGAGCTCGATGGAGGAACAACAAGTCTCATATATATACTCCTCCATGTTGTTGTGTTCTCTTTCGTATGAGCAGAAGAAGTCCTCGGACAACATCAACTCGCGTTTGCAGTTGGTGATGCGATCCGGTAAAGTCGCTTTGGGGTACAAGCAGACACTCAAGAACCTCCGCAGTGGCAAGGCCAAGCTGGTGATTATGGCTTCTAACACGCCTCCTCTTCGCAAGTCGGAGGTCGAGTACTACTCGATGCTTGCCAAGACGGGTGTACACCACTTTTCAGGCACCAACAACGATCTTGGTACGGCTTGTGGCAAGTACTTTCGTGTGTCGTGCATGTGCATCCTTGATGCCGGTGACTCGGACATTCTGCGCTCCATGCCGTCGGAGAACTAGGTGCTTTTAGTCTAGTACTGTAGCGACAGTAGCTGACGTAGAATGACATTCTTTTGAGGCTCCAGTGTTTATTGTTCTTCCTGCTTTGTTGAGACTTGGACTGTTAAAGTCAGATGAATATGGCCCAGGTCGTGAGACTACAGCGAAACAATACTCTTAGTACACGTATTGTTACAAGTGAGGACCATAGTATGTCTCTAAGATTACGTCAAAGTCCTTTGGCTCGTACGACTCGAGCTCGACGAGCTTTTCGCTTACATCCTCTGGGTTCGCAATCGAGTTGATGACTCGATAATAGGTACAGTCACGTTCTTTGTTGGAATCGTAGGGCGGTGTGATGATGTCTAAGAATGCACAACCAATGTCATCACCACCGACGAGTTGATGGAGATTACCGTAGTCTGGCAGCAGCTCCATCGTGTGCGGAGCCGTCGCGACCTTGTCCATACAGAGACGTGCCATGTGTTTCTTGTCGTTTGGTAATCCATCGTGCTTAATAAGATCGTAAGTCTTGACATGCATCGATCCGTACAAAACACGCGTAATGACACTCATCCGTGGATGATCATGCAATGGAATCGACACACCCGGTGGTAAGATAAAGATCCTACACATATACAACAAACACATGAGTCAATAGCATATTACAATGACAAAACGTATCAAGCAAGAAAACAGAACACAAAGAGCGTCTACCCGATTGAAACCATTTTGTCTTCATAGACGTGTTTGTAATGCACGCGCATGGGGCGTTTCGGTCCGCTGTCTCGTGAGCTTGGCACCGTTAATTGGACTGTATTATTATCAACGAAGAAGGTCTGTAAGTCGTCGAGTAGTTCGATCAATATTGATAGATATAGTGTACAATTAGCTAAGACGAGTTGGTCGCAAATCACTTTAATAGGCGCAATCTCTTCGAGTGTAAGGGCCTGAGGAACGCCGTCGTACTTGGCAATGGTCTCTAGTAGTAGCTCTTGAATGCGCTCGAGGGCCTTTTGTCCCGCTACCAAATTCTTGTCACGTCCGAAAGCAAAACGCCTTAACACGTTCAGGAAGTCCATTATAAAGTGACTATTTGCTGTATTCTTCTTGTCTAGCATTGTAGCCAAACGGATTTAAGTTGCGGAATAGCAACTTGAAACTGAACTGACGTTGCGCGTCAGATGCGACAGCGTGCTTGAAGTGGTTGTCATGGCTACATTGTAGATCTACTGGCTACCATTGCGTGCACCGACGACGATTCCGCTGTAAGACTGAGTGAGCGATAAGTGACTGCTCTCTTGTGAGATGAAAAGTCGCCTCGGCTTGGTTTGACACTTGCAGCAAACGTGCAAAGAGCGATGTCCGATACTGATCCGTGTCGTCGTCGTCGTAGTAGTGCGAGGACGACGCCGTCGAGGTCGTCGAGCGTGAACTGCGACGCATCGTATCTGCCAGGTCCTTTTCAAACGGCACGATCTGTTTGCTCTTCTTTCCAATTGAGTTGAGCACATCTCGGCCTTCACATAGCAGCGCGTCCTCGTAGTCTTCTTCTAAAATCGACACCCTCTCCATCGACAAGTTGGAGATGCGGACATTGCTACGATTGCTAAGATCCTGCAACTGTGCCGATATCTTGAGAGTAAAAGCCGTCAACGAGCGGTCACTGCCTGGAATATCCACGTCTTCAGGATCTTGTGTGACTTTGCAGAATAAATTGTTCCTGTCCGCCGAACGTAATCCAGCGACGTTCAAGTCATTCGCTTCAGCACGTAGCTGATCGAGAGACGTCGAGTCCATCTTGGCGATACACACACGACAGAATTCAGCCTGTATCAGATGAGAACTTGACGTTGTGTCACGCGCTAGAACGGTTTCCTTCAAACGGCATTTCTTGCAGACGTGTTTAAAGTTGCAACCCGCGCAATTCTGCAAATTCTCAAAGAACGACGTGGTGCCTCGACACACGTCGCAGCATCGACGAGAAGATCGTCGTCTGTAATGTCCAGGAGGGGCTACAGTCATCATTGCTGCAAGCTTCTTGGCTTGTGTACACTCCAATGCATTGGTTACTGTCAGTAATAAATCCGATACTGCAGGTGTAGAAAAGTACGATAAGGCCGCATGGTTGATCTCGCCCTGCATATAAACCCCCACCCGATTCTCCTCCAGCTCCTCAAACACGTAACACAATGAGATTTGTACCCGCTTGTGCATTGCTTTGTGAGGATACTCTGGGAGATCAATCGACTGCATGACATGGTAAGCCATTCGTTTCCCGGATGTCTGCTGTACTAGCCCCATCTTGTCAAAGTAACACAAGTCTCGATTGCTTGCAACTGAGAGCTTGATGGTGGCACATTTGATTCCTGTGAAGGTGTACGGCTCACATATTGTCTGTCGTTGTACTTTATAGAGCACTGCACTCTCAACTAAACGAGGACACTTGATAGCGTTCATGAGCAGCATCTCGTCTGTATTTTGACAATAGATTCCTTCCATGATGTCGTCAAAGCTGCCACGAAGAGCACCGACACAGTGCAGTGGAATAGGCTCGGTAGTTTTAGGATGACGTCCACGATAAAGTCGCACGCCATGTCGTGATCGAAGACATTTCCATCGTGTAGGATTAACAGCGACGTCGTTTGTCTTACTGTAAGCTTTGATGGTCTCAGTCAATGCCTTCTCAGCACGATCGTGGTAGCGATCAAGTTGAGGCAGAGCTAAATTTACTGTTGGATGTTTGGCTCTACGACTGCGGAGTGACATGGAGAGCGATGGTACTGGGAGACGATAAAGAGAGTGCTGAGAAGGTCGAGAGCGGTTGAAACTCGGTGTCGACTGTGTCATCTTGATGATAAATTTAATAATAACAATGGATCGTGGACGTTCGAAGTCGGTCGGTCTACTGTTACAGGGAGGAACGTAATGGCGACATCCCGAGTCAGGACAGTACAATATGAGTCAGACGAGACCTTTATTGTAACAAGTAATCGATGAACGTCAAGACTTTTTTCTACTCTCACGTTATCGTGTAAAGTCGACACAATCAGACGACGTAACCCCAAGAGTTACGTTTTCGTCTGTTATATATGGGAATGGCTTGATTCTTGACAGTATCTTGGTGGTAGAAAATGTACGAACAGTTGTGGTTCATGTTGATCTTACATCGTCTATTACTTCAAGATGGACTGGATTGTGGGTAGAAACGTGCCAGTTGAAGTCAGTGTACTATGGACTTTCCCACTGTCAGCTGGGGTTAGGCGGTATATCAGTTACTGGGGCTGGGGACATGACCCGGAAAGGCAGTATTAACATGCATGCGCACGTAAGTCTTGTGGGTGTTGATTGCCTGTAGAAGGTCGTCTGCCTGTACACGGGACTTGTAGCTGTAGCCAATCGATTAGAAATGACATAGCGGCAATGGTTTGATGGTAAACATTGTTCAAGCATAGGAGTAGTACCACTGCATCTTTCCAATATCAGGAACAAGTCTTTGATCGATATCAACGTCGATGAGTATCCTGTAGAAATCACAGAAGCACATGATTCAGCATGTAAGGTAGCTGCTCATGTTTTAGCCTCAATGATATCTCGCATGTCAAAATAACATGTACGCTCAACCTCCCATGTTCTCGGGGACACTTCAAGTCCAAGCTTGCCACGTCTTCTGGTACGTAAATCCTTTTCGGTATCCCCATTTATTCCTTTCTAATGTCTCGTTACCTCCAGGACAAAGACACCGGTGCAGTTAACATATCATCGACAGGATTATCGTCATGAACTGCCCGTGCTACTTATCCGACGACCAAGTATTCTCGGTGGAGAATCCCGCATTCCTCTCGACCCGTGTATCCATCCAGTCCGTCTACTATCTACGACTACGAGGATGGCGTCCAAGCTCGAGTTTGCACTCGAGTATGGATGGCACACCAAGCAAGTTCGTCTGCGGGCACCTGATGCCAGAAGTTACAGAAGATGGATCAGTCTTGTAAGCGCTGCATTGGAGTCCGGACGAAGACCGCTTGGAGCTTGCATAGCTGAACGACCTCCACAAGACCTTGAGTGTTTCAGTCTCGCATCAACTACCAACAGTAGCAACAACGGCATCTCAAGATTCCATTCCTCTTTCCAGCAACAAGAACCCGAAGGAGAAGAAGAAGAACCACATCTTGATCATGACGTATCCCACCAGTGGCAACACCCTCGTGAATTTTTCATGCTTCGTCATACTCCAAAGGCTAGAGACCTCCTTCTTGTCTCGCCAAGCAATGCAGTCATTGGAAACTGCAGCAGCAACGATCAACAGCAACGGGATATTCATTCCTACCAAATGGACCGATGTTTGTCGTTGTCACGCAACTTCTGCTTGGAATCCATAGCCTTTCTCCATCAATGAAATCTGTAATAACAATAGCAAAAGTATCATCATGTAGCTATATCGAATTCAACAGGGGATATATCACGAACGACACTGCGACATTGTCATTAAATCGGGGATTACCACTCAAAGCCACTCATCCCAAGACTATGGAGCTACTCGAGGCACGGATACAATTCATTCGAGCAGGTGCTCGCTCAGCGCGTACTGTGTCAAAAGTGTACCTAAATCCTAGTGATATGGTGCAGTTTGGCTTGGAATCGGGGGCTCACGTCGAGCTTTATGCGTTTGACAAGGACATGGGTACACGAAAACTGCTGCTTTGTGGACTGGCGTGGCCCATGGACAAGATCAAGCGACGTGGCGTTGGTCTCAGCTCCATGTGGGAAGAGACAGTGGCGAAGAAAGAGGTTGCAATGGTGACGGTCCAAATGCTACAGAATCCCATCCCGACAGCCAAGAGCTTGATGTTGCAGCTGGTGTCTAGAGCGTCGACACGCAAACGAAAGCTCTCGGAGAAGGAACGCATGCTGTTGATGCGGTGTGTTGCCGCTATGATTGACGGGTCTTTGTTGCATGAGGAATCGTTGATTTCACTGCCTTTGCATGGAGTCAACACTGTCTTCGAGGTACAGAAAGTTGATGGAGAGACGGACAAAGACCAAAGGATTGTAAAGGTCGTGGCGGCAACGACAGCGCTTACAATAATGTGGGAGGAAAAGCAGGAAAGTGATGTGCTGGAAAGTAAGGGCAGCAGCTCTACTGAGATGGCGATGAGAACAAAGCAAGACGGGTTTGCGGCTATAGGTGGTCTGCACAAGGAGCTGAAAGCCGTTCGAGAGGTGGTGGAACAACCGCTTACAAATCCAGAGACATTCGAGCGCTTCGGTTTGCCGGCTCCAAAAGGTGTGCTATTGTTTGGTCCACCTGGCACGGGTAAGACATTGATTGCGAGGGCCTTGGCACGGGAATTGAATGCACGTGTGTTCACAATCAACGGACCCGAAGTCGTGAGTAAGTTTGTCGGTGAAAGTGAGGCGAATTTGCGGGCTGTATTTGCACAAGCTGCTAGAGAGGCTCCGTCACTTGTGTTTATTGATGAATTAGACGCCATCTGCCCGAAGCGCGACTCCCGTGTGGGCGACATGGAGCGACGTCTGGTGGCTACTTTACTTACACTGATGGACGGATTGAGCTCTTCTCGTCAAGTCGTCGTGCTGGCTGCTACTAACCGACCCAATGCCCTTGACCCCGCAGTGAGACGACCAGGCCGTTTTGACCGCGAAGTTGAAATTGGAATTCCGACAGCCAACGATCGACTGGAAATTTTGCGCGTAGCTTTAAGACGGCTACCCCATAAGCTTACCAACTCCGAACTCCTGGAGCTGAGTTCAAGCGCCTACGGGTATGTTGGAGCTGACCTTAGCGCTCTTTGCAAGGAAGCTGCACTGCTAGCGCTTCATCGTGCATTCGCGAATAGTGCTCAGTCGAGTGGGGCTGTTTTAGCGGAGAGTACTTCGCTTCCATCCTATCAAGTAACTTTAGGTGACCTAAAAGTTGCTATGCGAGGAATTCGACCAAGTGCTTTGCGTGAGATTTCAGTGGACGTGCCTCGTGTGTTATGGCGTGATATTGGTGGTCAGGATGCGCTTAAGCAATCTCTTCGGGAGGCGGTGGAATGGCCACTGCAGCATCCGGAAGCGTTTACTAGGATGGGTATTCGCCCTCCAAAGGGTGTGCTTTTGTACGGTCCTCCGGGTTGTAGCAAGACACTAACAGCAAAGGCGTTGGCCACCGAGAGCGGTATGAACTTCATTGCGATTAAGGGACCAGAGCTATTTAGCAAATGGGTTGGGGAGTCAGAGCAACAAGTACGTGAGGTGTTTCGAAAAGCACGCGCTGCTTCGCCCACTGTGGTCTTTTTTGACGAAATCGATGCACTTGCCAGTACTCGTGGAACAGGCGGCAGTAGCGGTGCCTCCGACCGTGTGCTAAGTCAGCTGCTGACTGAGCTGGATGGATTGGAGCCTCTGAAGCGTGTTTTGGTAGTAGCTGCGACGAACCGGCCGGACCTTTTGGACCCGGCTCTAATGCGACCGGGCCGCATTGACCGTGCACTCTACGTGTCCCCACCAGACGTTTCTGCTCGCGAGCAGATCCTGCGTATTCACACTCGGCAAACACCACTGGCGTCAGATGTGAGCATGACCGAACTAGCCATTGCAACTGCTCGGTATTCAGGTGCTGAGCTTCAAGCTCTTTGTCGTGAAGCTGCTCTTCACGCGGTCGAAGAAGATCGCGCAGCCATGAATGTAGCAAAGCGTCATTTTGTGCATGCGCTATCAGTGGTGACACCGCAGATCGATGATCAGATGCTGGCATTCTTCGAGCGATTCCGGGACAAGCAACGGAGATAGGAGCTCCGGCTCGTGATTATTAGATTGATCACGAGTAACACCCAAGGCTCGGACCAGAATACATTGAAAACTTACCGGGATCCGCCGATAGATGGCAAAATGATACAAGTCCCTGTCAATTACTTCAGATGCGACCATATATGTACGACTCGGCTGCTTGTGCGGACGGGTATGTTCGGGTCTTGTCGCTCTGGTTGCATCCAACACTACAGGGTAAATATAAACCGCTTACGCGCTTCTGCAAAGTATTGTCGTCGTCCGAGCTTTAAGGATACGAGCTTATAGCAAAGTTTGCTGCTAATGCGTACTTGGTAAGCCCCATGCATCATGCGGTGTCAACGCAATGAGACCACAAGCTGGAAGTGTTTGTGGTGGTGGCAGATCTGCTGATACTTTTTTGTTGATGTGGAAGGGAACTTTTTCATGGTCTGCAGGTACAAGTACACCTTTCATCTCGAGTATCATGCTGCTACAGTATACTATACGATCTATGTAGTGATGTTGCTGTCGAAGGTGCTTCTGAGAGCTATATACACGCGCTAGTACTTTGTATCCGTGCTTTGTGTCTAAGGCACTAGCATGGTAGGGAGCATGGATTTGATCCGAGACCAGGACAGGATGTTGACAGCATTTTCTGGACGTACAGAGACTTCATCTGTTTGTTGGGCAGGTGATTTCAACCAGGATGTAACCCATCGTGTTGCGTTTCCCCGGCTACTTGTCACGCTGTTCCTCATGTTATCCGTTTGCATTGGTGTAGACGACGGCCGATCTAAAATTTGTGCAGATCATTTTTACGACGCCGGTAAGTTCACTTGTCGCTACTTCTTCGCAGTTACGTAACACCAAATGTGCTTTTATACGGCTTTCATCGGCTTCTCTTTCATCATCATAGGCATCTTCATTAATAACCACTTGGCACGACCAATAACCAGCTCCGTCGACATCTGCTGTATACTACCTGTAAGTATGCATGGCAACACAGTATCCCTCCTCACTCGAACACAACAACAGCTAAACATATGAGCTATTTGGTCGGGAAAAAGTAGTATTAAATGAAACAAACTGATGACCACAACAGGCAGATAGGTAAAGACAATAGAAAGCAGACACAATAGCATCCTCTCAAAAGAGAAGCACTCACCAGCGGTCACTCACAATCCCTCCACTGTCCATGTCTCTGATCATCATTCTCTTCACCTGTCAACCAGAACCTGATCCATGTTTCACGCCATATAGGCTTGCATTACTTGGCTTTCATCCTCTCCTATAGCCAAATAGCCAAATAGCCAAGAACTCCAAAAGCTCGACACCGTTCCACCTGCTTTTTCATCGTGTGCCTATTCTTCCTTCTTGACATCCAGCGCTTCCAACGCTTTGGCAGCATCATCACCTGCCGACGTATCAGCTGCATCGTCTCCATTCTCAAGCTTCTTGTTGTTCAACTTGGCAGCATCGTGCACGTCTTTAAACTTTTGTGCATTCTCCGAATTGCCAAAACGAAGCGCAAAAACTTGCGTCTCCACGACCCCTTCGGCAAAATCATAGCAGCTAAAGACCCACGCACGGTCACTGCCCATATTCGGCGTAAGTTCCGTACGTGCTTCAACCAGATGGTTGATCAGAATCTTATGCGTCTTTTCTTGACGCATGAGCATGCGGACTTTCTGATGTTCCTTGTGTTTCAGAAACCGGACATCCCCCACACCACGTTCACACCACGACTTTTTCCCCGTCCCCTTGTCTAACAATGTCTCGCGGTAACAAAAAACCTTGGCTCGTCTACAACAAGCAACAAAAACCATATGGAATCAGAGAAAAAGCTCAATCGAACGCCAATCAAACGCCCAATTAAACGCACTGTTTGAAAATGACCTCCTCTTCCTCTTCGCCAGTCGTAACTTCGACTTCATCGAGCTTTATGACTGGCTCAAAATAGGCCTGAGGTTCTTCGGATTCCGGGGTGACGTCAGTCTCCTCGGTCGTCTCTACCGTGGGCGTAGCCACTTTCTTTTCAACGTTCTTTTCAACCTCCGACATAATTTGGATTTTGGAGGGTCTAGGGCTGGAAAAGACTGGAGGCCACAGCGTCGAAGAATTCAAGCGCGCGCTCAAATGAGAAGCTACACTTGATAAATGTGATCTATCCAATTATATCGAGCGGAGAGTGGCAGAAAAGAGGACGAAGCGCTTAAATTTATAATTGTCTTTTTTTACCCAATGACAAGGGGGTAACAGCTCCCTTTATGCTATTGGATGAATTATATCATGGCTACACTTGATTGTCGTTGGCTAAAAATAAACGGATACAATCAAATTGCAGCGCGTCTTCATGGACGCCAAGAAGCGCAAAGGATCAGCTCATGCGTTGCAATGGAAAAGACCACGTCGGTCTCTACGCGATAAGAGTGAATTTGTGAGTGTCGAGGTAGGAATGCGTGAGTTCAAGAAGCGTTTGGCTGCAACAGACGTCGCAGAATCCACCAATTTGACAATCAAAACGAATCAAGTTGACGAGGATTTCACACAAGTCACACCCAAGACACGAGGCAAGTCAAAGACGGCAATTGTACAGAAAAAGAGCACTGGAACAAGTCGGACAAGTGCTGCAAAAATGAAAAAGAAAACGTCCATGCCGGTACAAAGAACGACGCGAGCGTCAACGAGACTTGCTGCCTCGACGTTGTCACTGGCTCAAGTGAAGTTGCAATTGAAGTTGGAGCAGCAAGAGAGAGTGGAACATCGTATCCAGATGTTGCATTGTGAAGAAAAACCACTTGCTGCTGCTTCGGCAGTTAATAATGCATCTGCTTTGTCTCCTGTACATCCTAGGACGTCTGTTGGTGCTGAAGGAAAGACGGTGATTAAAGCAGACATAGCGTCAAAGCCGATGATGTCAATAGGAAATGGAGCTCAAACTTGCACTTCCAGTGTATTGTCAGCTACTCAAATTCCATCAAGTACAGAACCTGTCGCGCCCAGTGACCTGCGGCTTTGTCCGATGAAAAACGAGTTCATTGCTGATGACTTGGAAGAAGACCTTATGTTTGCAATGGCACTTGAAGAGACAGAAAGGAAGCTAGCAACTCCTCAGAAACCATTGCTTTCTAGAAAAGTCGAGACTACAACTGACGTAAATTGTTTAACAGCAATTAATCCTCAGGTGCTGGTTGCTTCTCCAGTTCCAGCAATATTGGCAACTGCAATATTACAACCCGCACAAGTTTCTACCGCCAACCAGCAACATATGACTAAGACGTTGGTGCAGAGCAATCAAACAGAAGCGATTCCTGAGGTTTTGGAAGAAATGGAACGTTTGAGACGTGAAAACATGCTTCTCAGGCGGTCCAACGAGCTTCTCCAAGCTGCTCTAACGCCACCAGCGCAAACAAAGATTTGCGGTATGTCTGGTCATTCCAACGATCAGGACGGTACCGCGCTATTGCCGCAGGACTCTTCGATCGATACTTTGGCTAGGACTTCCACAGGTCGATTCCTGGATTTGGGTGGATGTGACAGCGAACATGAGAGGCTTTCATCGTGGAATGATCGCCAGCTTCAGGAACACGTAACGGATAGTCGCTTTACAGCGAGCCAAACTGTTCCGTCAGAAATACAAAGCGAATATCTCTCTAGCAACAACGAGAAAAGGCTTTGTGATGACCAGCACAAGCTTGAAAAAGAGAACGAACTTGCCACTGAACCTGACATAACGAAAGAACATGCATCCAGAGTGTCACATAAGGGCTCGCCTCATAATTCTATGGCAACATCACCATTGTCCGGCCACTCTGCACTCGTAGAGGACAACATACATCTTTCCGCACAGCCGACAGTAACAGGATATGAACCTGTTCAGAAAGGTGAGACTGCATCACTGCGGTCACCCGAGCTCTCATCATCGACAGAATGCGTGATTGAAGATTGTGCTCATGCAACAAATGGACGCGATGATGGTGACGTATCGGATGTCAGTGTGGCCGAAGTCGACGAGGAAGTTTATTATGACGACGAGAAGGAAGAAGAAGTTGTTAGCGACGATGGACCAACTGGGCGAATGTCAACGATTGACTGTGGAAACCACGCAGAATATAAGGTTCGACAAGAGAACGATCACGACGACGCCGATGACGAGAATATGGGTGAGACTCGGGATAATATCATTGCTCTGGAAACAAAAAGTGACGCCGAACCAGCATTATCGACTTACGTCGACTCCGAATCATCCAACATAATACTTAATAACGAACCAGCTGCGTGGAAGCCAGGTACACCAACGGACAATGACATTCTTGACCGAACTACTGCACCTAGCAACTCAGACGATGAAGGTGATAATGGTGAAGCTGATTTGATGAGCGTGAACCGGAGAAAACGGCGAGAGGCTATTGCACTTTCATCTTCATCGTCGGAATCCGAGTCGGAAAGTGAGGAAGATGAAACGACCAGCTTGAATGTACTGGAAGCTGCTCTTCATGCAGCAGGAGGCGATAGAGGCGGTAAGAACCGAGCAAAGTCATCTTCCGTCGTCAACAGCGCTGTAAGCGACAAGCAACATGAAACAAAAGATGGCTCAACTGCCGCTGTCTTGGGATCATCGTTGCCTTCAAAGTCAGCGAAAAGAATAATGAAGAAGCGAAAGACCCTAGGCCTTTCGTCTGCCAACGCTAAGAAATCGGCGAGTACTAAAAGCTCCTTGCTATGGCCAACGCTTGACGATTTTTACAACTATCTACTGGATATGTCGCCAAAAAATATCCGTGGATCAGAGGAGAAGAGGGTTCATCTCAGACAATATGCTGGTGGGAAGCTGCCGACTCAACATTCGTCCATAGAAAAATATTGTGGCGTGCAGCTTGAGGCAGTTATGGAAGAGCTAATGGCTTCAGTGAGCAACACCACGGACCGTAAGGGCGGTGGAGGCTCAAGACCAACTCGTCACCTACCACTCACGTCTGTGTCACCTTGTGGCGTGCAGAGAGGTTTTACATCATCAGCAGGACTGAGTTTTGACGCCATTTTCTCCGAAAGTGGGTTTACTGGCAGCACGTCCAGCAGCAACGATTATGTTCTCACCTTTGATCCCCCTGCACTAGGCAAAAATAGTTCATCAGATTTCACGAGTGGTGATTTGGTATTGGTGCGCTCTCCCCGCTGGAAGAAGTACGAAATGTGCGTTTTTGGTGTGGTGCTTTGCGGCTCATTGGTAGCAGGAGGAGGAAAGAGTGTTTCAAGAGGCAAGGTTGGAGACGGTGAACCAGGATATGATGACCAGATCTGCGTGCTTATTCGTGCTCACAAACGCGGCCAAGATGATGCGGCGGAAAACTTTAACGTGTTGACAGAGCTGTGTCTGTCGAATCAACGGGCGCCGAAGTGGCGATGGTCCCTCCAACAAGTACACAACACTACCACAAGTGCGCGTGAGTTTCAGGCAATCAGGGCCATACCATTTTTTCCCAGCGATCTTCAGCAAGCATTACTACGTGGACGCTTAACAATGTCTGCTACAAAGCAGACACCACCTCATTCCGTGGCGCCGTCTTCAGTACTTTCGCCACGCTTGCTGAAGTATCTACGTAAGCATTTCAATGACTCACAAGTGCAGGCGATCCTCGGTTGTTTGAGGGAAGACAGCAGGGTCATTATTCAAGGACCGGTGCGTTTATATTAGATGCTCCATTCTGATCTTTGACGCAAAGAATGCATGGACTATTCCTTAATTTGTTTGTGTATATGCAAACTCGCAGCCAGGCACCGGCAAAACCAAAACAATCTTGGGTCTTCTGTCTGCTTTGCTGGATGGTGCTGGGCTTTCCACATTGCAGAAAACAAAAGGCACGGCGCGTATTCGAGCGGGAGCATCGCTTCAAAGCGCGAGGACCTCGGCGGGATCGAACGCTGTAGCTGGCACATCGATCCGAATTCTCGTGGCTGCACCCAGCAATGCTGCCGTCGATGAGTTGGTTGTCCGAGTTCTTAGCGAAGGCTTATTTGATGGTGAGAAGGGGGAGTCGTACCGTCCACAAATTGTGCGCGTGGGTCGCCCGGAAAGTAGCCAGCAACTGTCGAGTTTGGCTGCGGTCCGTGAAGCTAGTGAAAGCAAGAAGAATCGTAAGAAAATTCGAAAGTACGCTCGCGAGGTGGAAGAGGTTCTGCTGGAGAGCTTAGTAACAAAGCATCGAAAAACGTTTCAGACTGTGAAGCAGGCACGCGAGGCGATTATCAAGAGCGCACAGATTGTGTTCTGCACACTTAGTGGAGCAGGTTCTGTAGCAATGTGCGAATTTGCGCAAGACTTTGATGCCCTAATTATCGATGAAGCTGCGCAAGCTGTGGAGGCAAGTACGCTTATCCCGTTCAAGTTCCGTCCGCATCGAGTTGTATTCGTGGGTGATCACCGGCAATTACCAGCTACAGTGATCTCGAAAGAGCTTATATCGATGGGATATGACCGAAGTTTGCAGCAGCGCCTTGTGGAGAACGGCTCACCGGTGTTACTGTTGACACAACAGTATCGAATGCATCCTGAAATTGCTGAGTTTCCGTCGTCTTATTTCTATGGTGGGCGACTGGTGCAAGACGACAATATGAGTGAATGGACTGCTCAGAGTTACCACTGTGATCCAGCTTTCAAGCCGTTACTATTCTATGATGTACAAGGAGCTCAAAGTCAGGTGAGTGGGTCTACGTCACTTCGTAACATGAACGAGGTCGAAGTTGTGGTCCAACTTGTTCGTCGTTTGGCTCAACAATTTCCACAACACGAGTGGAAGAAGCGTATCGGTGTCATTGCACCGTATAAACAACAAATTTGTGAAGTACGTAATGCAATGGGAAAGCTCGAAATAGAATTGAATTGCCATCTCGGCATTGAAGTGAATACTGTGGATGGTTTTCAAGGTCGTGAAAAGGAGATTATCATCTACTCATGTGTCCGCACAAGTCATAACAGTCGTAAAAGAAGGAAGAGGCGGCGCAAAGAGGACAATGACAAGGATGGTAATGTCCTTGATGCCTTCTGGGCAGATGAGCGACGAATGAATGTCGCTATTACTCGAGCCAAAAGCAGTCTATGGATCGTTGGGAATTCAACGTTGTTGACTCAAAGTTTTGCATGGAAAGCACTCATCCAGCACATGAAAGACCACAATAGGTATATCAGTGATAGTACTGACCTATTATCTGCTAACTCGTCGACACGTAACGCCAAATAGATACAAAAAGGCAACTTCAACGACATACACTCTTGATGGACCATTTGAAAGTTGTGTCTTGGCTCATAGAAATGCTATCGAGACAGAAGAACAGGAACACAAAAGACAGGAGATTCAAGTGGAGATTGAGACACGACGGAGTGTGCCAAAAAGACGGGGTCAAGTTAGTACATGTCTTTGCGAAGTATTATGTGAGGGCCTATTGAGTCAATGCGGTGAGAGATTTCCGATCGAACAAGTAAGTGTTGCTGCTTTTTTTTACTGCAAATGAGCTTGATACGGCTCTTTCTAATGTGTGGGATGCCTTGTTGTTATATATCGAGACATGTTGTTTTCACATGATTGTGAAAACCGAGTTATTCATCGTAAAAGACGAGACCTGCCTGATTCCTGTGAGTGGTGTTGCTCGATCTGGTTGCATGACAAGAGTTTCAAGCGGATTTTGAAGAAGATGAACCGATATACTCGTCGAGGATATCCTGAGACTTTTGTGGAGGTGTTGATTGTTTGTCAACCAGATTTTGCAGTTCACTTGAAGTATCTCACTGATGCTAGCATTTCTATGTAGTGTATCGACCAAGAAATTGTCAGTCCGATCCAAGTCCAAACACTCCAGCGATATGAATCTGAATCTTGAAGGTCGGAAGTTGAGATAAGCTGCAATGACAGCTTTCCAGCACTTTAATGGGCCTGCTAATAAGAGTCTATTGCAACATAATGAATCTACTAAAGCAAATGCGGATGCAACACCTCTTTTTGAATGGATACTTCAAAGCACCCAAAGTACAACAATCAATGAGCATGCTTCTCCAGAAAGAAACAAGTGGCAAAGCACGTCATACTGCTTCACTTTACGTATACGTTCCGACGAATGGGTGCGTAAATTATACGCTGACACCATCACTTTCGTTAGAATATTAGGTTACACTAGGTAAATTGATATTGGTATATTGGCCCATCACTTTCCTTAGAATATTAGGTTGACTTAGATAAATTGATAATAGTATAAAAGTCAATGAAGACCGGCTGTATTTGTATTGGGACGAGTGTAAGCTTAACGTAAGACTTCGCCATACTGTAGACAGCAATACGCATTGAAAGCTGGTCTGTCGAATCGTATGCGAGAATACATCTCTTGCCAAAAAAATGCTGACCTCTCCGAATGTCTGCCCTTGAGATTTATTGATCGTCATTGCGTAGGCCACTTGCACGGGAAACTGCCTCCTTCGAACTGGGAATGGGAGGCCATATTGCTCGGTAAATAAGGGGATGCGCGGAATGTATGTAACATAGCCTAGGTGATTACCGTGTGGTACCTCAGCCTCAATCACGCGTGCTGAACACCGACGAATGATTAGTCAAGTTCCATTGCAGAGCCCGTGTGTCGTGTCTAACTTCCTTAAAAGGATAATTGGAGTCCCAATTTTCAACCTAAGACGATGAGATGGCCACCCACTTACTTCCAACCTGTTTAGATATTTGGTGGCAAAACATTTGCCACCTTCTTCGTCGTCCACCTTATCTGCGCTCAAGTATATGTCCCCCTGAATCCTGTTCAGCACCGCCATGTTTATTGCAGCAACAGCATCATTGCGGGCGGCAAGGACGGGCCCGGCTGCTAAAGTATTCCTGAATTGCATGCTGAACAACATCTGCGACATCTCCATAAATTGTGTTTAGAAGTTCTTCCACCGTGTTATTGGGGACAACCATAGACGATGGACACCGGAAGTGGTCGTCGTCAAATTTCTCCAGCCGATCTTCTCCAAGTGCTAAAAGTCAATCTGCAACTGTGCGGCTCCCGAGATTTTCAAGTCGCTCATCATTATTTGCGCGCATGTTCTGACGCAATTTTAAAACTTGAACGCAACTCCATCGATAAGACTCCTTAATTGACGCGGTAACAATATCAGGACGCAGGCCCATTTGGGTTAACAGAAAAAACTTGGCGGAAATCACCGCACATCACAAATGTGATTCCACCAACCAGGATATCAGGTTTTTCGGTGATATTGCGAAATGCCCGGCTAACGGCATCGAATGCAAACTTACTCATCATCGTACCAAAGAATGAGCTTCGTGCGGTGGAGCATTTCTGCAAGATCACTTTGTTTATTGAGCACACCGAGTCAGGCTTCAGATTAAGTGGAATCTTGAATCGGGAGTGAGCGGTGCGACCATTATGTAAAAGCAATGCTGCAATTCCAGATGAAGCCACTGCCAACGCAGTATGTCCTAGACCCCGCACAGACTTGAGAAGTAAATTCTCTGGATATGTTTTGCCGGTTCCACTGAGTCCATCGATGAAAAATATTCCACCTTGCTCCTTTTTGCAGGATGTGATGATCTCACGATGAATGTGAAGCTGTTTCGCGTTCAAACTCTGCACCTCGTTGTCTGCCTCTTCTTTCAACACATCTATGTTGAATGCCAGCTGCTCTGCAATCAAGCAATTCTCTGTGGCTCTTCCATTTCATACGCAGGCGTGGGAAGACTGAAGTCAGCAAAGGTTTTCTCAAAAGTCGCCAATAGATTTGCTATCAAGTTAAGGGCCAAACTCGTGATCTGGTCAGATGACGGCTCTGCATTCCCATCTTGGCGAAGTCGATGCGCCAAATCGTACGATAAATGATGCTGAAACTCGTCCTATAGATGCCGCGGTTTAGTAGGCGGTCCATGGATTAAAATTGTGACAACGAGGGATCGCAGTTGAGCAACGCTCTGCATCACCGCTACTTCTCGTAGACATTGCTCCCATTCTTCATCGTTCTCGTACAACCCACGTGCAACACACGCCCGCCTTGCACGTCTCGTGCTGCAAGCCATTATATGTTCGCAGTTCCTCGTAAGACTTTGCTCCCTTCACTATTGTCAGCAATGTCCGTAGGAAGTATCGTCCCCAAATTTGGGGCTCACAAAGTAAAGACGTCCGACGCACTTTCCTCTATTTCGCACCGTCCATTGTTTACAGGTTTTGTTCCAGACAATCGTGACGGAAAATCCAAGTAAGTTGTCTCTTGGGCCTCCATGTTGATGCGGTTGAGCTCGAACCACTGTGTGAGTGTCTTTTTACGTGCTTGCTCATTGTTCACTGTAGACACTAAGTTACCGTTAGCGTTAAACACAACTTGTTGCTGATTCGGCAAATGGACTTGCAGGCGTTGGATTGGAGGCAAGTAGTCGTGCATCTTGAAGCCCAAGATGCGCCAGCACGACTCTGGAGCTAAAACATAGCGGGCGTCAATGTTTGCTCGATTTCGTTTACATCTGCAACCACCACCGTCGTGCAATCGTGTCCCTTGTATTCATATTTGAAGACATACTTGATGGCCGAGATCGAAGAGCACATCTGTATGAAAACAAATCGTTAGTCAATATCATTATGGTGATCGTATATAATAAACAGCGCATATCATTCTCCTCCCACCCTCCTTAACGTTGACGTGCGCATGTTAGGTACACATTATGCGGCATAATCTATCGAGCATCAACACGACGGCCTTTTGCATCCTCAACATATCGTCCTTTGTGATGCCGTCTGTAAACTGGGTAGCCGTCTTGATCGGCGGAGGTCTCAGTCGCAAACAATCGAGGGTATCGCTTGCTGCACTTTCCTTCCACCATGCATGGTGCATTGGGATTGTCTATGCCAAAAGGACCATGGACCAAACAACGCGTCACCGTCTCATATGCATCAGGATGAGTGGCTGGGTCAGGAATTTCTGCCGAGACTGCCGAACCAATCTGTTGCGGTGTACGAAGCTTGGATGCCTCATCCAGGATAATGAGAATGTGCGCGTGGGGAGGCTATTTTTTGGAAGTCAATTACCCAAACTTTGCCAACCATTGTTCCAGAACTTTTCTGCTCGCTAAAGTCTCTCATAAGCTCCTGCAATTTGAGGCTGGATAATCTTGCCACCAATTCTGGTCGATCATGAGGCTGTTTCCCTGGTTCTAGCTCGGCTCTGATCTTGAGCCGTTTCGGATTGCATGTAAAAGTTACGAAAAGGTGTGGTCGGCCATACTTGCGCACAAAAGCCATGCCCTGGTACAGCTGGCTCATGTGTCGATCGCTTCCAGAAAAACTGGAGGGCATAATTATTTTACGGCCAACTCGTGCCAACTCGTGCCACATCGTGATTATTCTCGGTTATTGCGTCCATAACTCCCGAGTATAGCTCACAACGCAAATTGCATTGGTGACTGGAGATGAACTGCAAGCGATTTTGCTCCGTACATGCCCATGCATCAACAATATATCTTGCAGAAAACGTCCGGCCAAGAAAAGCTGTCCAGATTCTCGAGGATGAAGCAGTATTGCATTTAGATATCCGGCTTGATCCTCCTTTTCCACGTACAGCAACTTCATCGTTCACAGACAAACCTTGCCCATCCCGCACTGGAGTCCGAAATGTACGGCTGAGAGAGTTTTTTTCTCATGACTTCCTTCTGGCAGTAGAGCATCCATACGATGATATAGAGCGGCTTGGAGCCGAAATGTGTATACACCCCCTTGCATATATCGGTCATCTAACTTGGCGCCAAGCGACGTGAATAACAGTGCATTATTGTACCTCTTATATTGCTGCGGAACGCCCTGGCAAGTGGTGTTTGCTTATGCAGTAATGCGTTGAGAAGTTCCGGTGGCGGAACCAACGGTAGGATGTTAAATACCTTTCCACGTTCACAACACATCGTAAACTTCGGGTTTGCCAGAGCTGATCCAGTAGCTTTAACTCTCTCTTCGATCCAAAGGAGTGCTTGACACGACGGGCAACTCACGTTCATACTATGCAGCACATTACCCAGCGTCGAAGAACCTGCATTGATTGAGCGACGAGCCAGGGGAACCACTGTTTCTTCTGCCCGTCGCGCAGCGTGCGCATCACGATTATTCCGACGCTTCTCAGCAGCCACTTCTTCTGATTGCTCTGCCTTCGTGCAGCGTGTGCCTCACGATTATTGCGACACTGCTCAACAGCCACTTCTACTATTGATCT